CAGCTGATGACCCAGCCGCCCACCGAAAAACGAAACTCATCCCAGACGCAAAGCTGCTCTCGCGACCAGCGCACCTGAACCCAAGGGGCAGGGTGCAGGTAGGCTGCGCCAAGGCGACCACTCAAAGTAGGCAAGTCCAATGTAGAGATGCACTGGAAGGCTGGGCACCCACGGATGACACCGGCGAGTCAACGTAAGGACTAGACCATGGGGAGGACGGCTCATGAAACAGGCGTGTCCACTCCTGGACAGCTCCAACTAACACTTCCGCTTTGTCCCGGGGCCTTGCCACCGCGCCATCGGGAAGCGTGACGGTCGAGGGAGCGTAGCCAGGGTGAGGTGGACGAGCAGGTCGCATGAGCCGAGACCAACGCCTGATGTCCCCAGAGCGCAAGGTGCACAACCGCGCGCTTAGGCTATCTTGCCGGTAGAGGCGCCGGCACTGGTCACGGCGCCCCGCCGCTTCGCTGAGCCAAGCCTGGATCTGCCGAAGGCACACGACGCCGGAGGGAGAAGGCGACGGCCAACACAACTGTGAGGTAGCAGGAGGTGAAGAGGAAGGCGTCCCTTCAGGCGGGGGAGCGGGAAGCCAAGCCTGGAGATCCCGCCAGCCCACGTTCGCCAGCCATGCTGGAGGGTTGGACGAGAACTCGTCCCAAGCCACAGGCGGTAGGGTAGGCGGGGAGCGGGTGCGGCCCTCGACTTTACAAGCCTTGGTCCAGTATGGTTGCACTTCTTCAAGCGCAAGTTGCGGATCGGCAGGAGGGGCATCCAGGAACAAACGGCGGAGAAGCCGTAACTGGTGAACGCACTCTTCCCAAGCCCGGGCGGCCGATACACGGGCACGAGATACTGGCGGAGGTATAGCGGGGAGGCATGGACAAGGACAGATTGGAGCGAGTCGAAGGCCCGCCCAATGCGAGAGGACAGCACCTCAGAGCGCAGATCCGCAGATGCACCCTCACCGGTACCATCCAATCCCTCACACGAGGAGAAGAACAGATGAGAGGGTTGGGACAGGCTAAACAAGAGGAAGCTATCCTCTTCAAGGTGTTGGAGTAACGGAGCATGCGCGGCAAGGGAACTCGCCACGGTGTGTCGTAACGACTCCAGTTGGGGCACAGGGCCGGACTCAATGGTCTCTGCCAAAAAACGCCAAGAAGGAGGGCCGGCAGGGGAATCATCTTCCACCAATGGGAGCGCGGCAAGAAAGTCGGCAAGCACGGGCTCATGATCAACACGGCAACGCCAGCCAACAAGAACCGCAGAGTTGAGCAGCAGGAGAGGTTCAGCCCCACGTGGGTTGAAGGACCAAATGCCATCCAGGCGGCTTGCAGAGCCAGAGTGGGCAAAAAAGGTGTAGGCCCGGAGGCCTGCGTGGCGGAGACGAAAGGTGTCTACGCAGTCGAAGGAAGGCGAGGGACGACGGACGGAGAACGTGCGACCCATGCCAAACATCAAGATCCAGCGAGGCGACGGAGTTGAAGTCACCCATGCAAATGCACGGGATACTAAGCTCGTCCGCCAGGCGGAGTTGCTTCCGAACAAACTGGACCAGTGAAGCCTCTTCGGCCAGCTTAGACGGATCACTATCGAACCCGGGAAGACTGGCTCCAGTCACCGCGTACACGCCCACGATACGAACAGGACAGCCGCCTGAAAGATGTATAGTGCCGGCCATGCCACGGCCATCCGGAGCACGCGCAACATCACACCAGCCAAGGATGGCACTGCGCCGAACTGCCAGAACAACACCAGAGCGAGCGGCAGGCGGCGCTCCCGAGGGTAGCCGTGCAAGGCACATTGCCACGGAGCGTGAGAGCGACAGTCTTTAGCAAATTTATTTAATTTATCATTGAAATTATGAATTTAAAATAATTGAAAAAAAATATGTAAATAATATTATATTTTGATATATATATATAAATATTTATATATAATAATAATTTTATTATAACTACTTTCTAATTATTACAAATATATTATTTATTTATATATTTTTTTTTATATATATTAATGTTTAATATTTCTTGGTTATTGATTTTTGAAGAAAGAAATTTTAAAAAAGTAAAATAAACAAAAGAATTAATGAAAATATATAAACCACGATATTCTAGAAATATTAAATTATTTAAATTCTTAGATATTTTGAATTTTTAATTTATTGATATTTAAAAAAAATAATATATAAGAAATATGAATTTAATATTATATAAATGTTTTTTTTATTGAATTGTGTTTGATTGTTTTTTGTTTATTTTTTTATTTGATTATTTGTTTGTTTGTTTTTTTGATTGTTTTTTGTTATTTGGTTTGATTTTTTGATTATTATTTTGTAATTGTGTTTTTGAAATATTTTGTCTACTAATTTTCTTATTTAGTTATTTGTTTATAAATTCATTTATATAAAATATAAAGGAAATAAAGGACACAAATAACGAAATTCTTGATTTATTTACCCTAGGTCGTATATAAATCTAAGAGATTCTTGCAGAATTTTAGCTCGCTTAAGGCGGGCGATTGCAAGAACTCGAAATTGTTTATTCTTCGTGACCCAATTTAAACCCGAGTAAATTCTATGGTTTTATCCATGATAATTTTATAAAAATAATTCTTTAATGGATTAGGGCAAGTATGAAATATTGTCTTGGATACAAAATTGGATTGTATCTAAGGTATTGATTCTTAATGTCCGGTTTATCAAAAGTCGTAATTTACCCAGAAATTGTTTGGTTGCGGACTCTTAATCATCCTATTAGCCTTCTATATTTCTAGTATTCAATGATAATATCTATTTAATCCATTAAAAATTAAATTTTAGTGGGGGATCTACAAAATTTAAAATTCCTTCTATCCATGAATCGGAATTATAATTGATCTTACTATGCGCCATTATTAGAAATAACGGAATCTCTTTAATAATTATATATATATTTATAAATCAATTTATTAATTAAATTAATATTTTTTTTTATTATATACATATTTTTTTCTATAAATATATATTTAAAATATATTATATTAAATAATTAAATAAATTAATAAATTTAAATTAAATTATTTAAATATATATATTTATATATGTGTATTAAATATATTAAATTATATATAATTTATATATTATATTATTATATATATAATGAATTTAGAATATTATTTAAAATTATATTTAATAATATAAATCTTTATAATTATATATATTTATATATATTCAAATTATAATTATTCTAAATAAATAATTTAATGTATATTAGAATAATATTAAATATATTATAATAAATTTATAATATTATTATATATTATTAAAATAAATTATATATAATTAATTTAAAAATTATATATATTATATATATACATATAATTCTATATTATATTTAAATAAAAAGATCATTATATATATATTTAATATTAAATATATATATATATTTATGAAATATATCATATTCTATTCAAATCTTAATATATATATTTAGTTTTATATATATAATTAAATTTTTATTTATAATTATTTTAATTTATATTATTAATATTAATACTATTTAAATAATATTATCGATCATATTATTATTTTTTAAATATTAAATAAATAATATTAAATATATTCAATAATATTTATTCGAATTATTCATATATTAATAAAAAATAAATAAATCATAATTATTAATATAAAAAAAATAACAAAGAGATCAATAAAGAAAAAAATAAAAACAATGAAAGAAAAAAAATAAAAAGAGGAAAAAGAAAACGAAAAAAAAAGAGAGGAAAAAAAAAGAGAGAAAGCAAAAGAGAAAGAGAAATAAAGAAAAAAAAGAAAAAAAGAAAGAAAACAAGAGAAAAATAGATACTAAAAAGAAAGAGAAAAAGAAATCCATAACAAGAAGAATTAGTATTAATAAAGATCATCTAAGGCGGAAAAAATGGCTCCCCATCCTAAGAAAAACAACAAATATATCAATAAAACCTATCTTTATCCTGCAAACGAGAATACAATACCAAGGAGAAAAAGGGAAAACAATAAGAAAAAAAACAAGAGAAAAAAAAAAATTTTTTATGTTTGTGTTTTTTGTGTTTTTTAGTGTATTTTTATTTTTATTTGTTTTTTTTTAAAAAAAAATCGTAATTGTTATATGGTTATATTTATTCATAAAAGAAAATAAACATAATCAAATATAAACGCTCATCACAAACACTATATTCGAATAAATATCGTTATATTAATTTATCAATATATAAAAAATATAATCTCAAAACCATACCATTTATAAAAGAATATCAATTTATAAAAATATATAAATAAATTATATAAATTATATTCCAAAATTAGATTTATCAAATAAATTATTATCCAATTCCAACCAAATTTTAAACCATTCAAATCTAACCACCAAAACTCACCCAATCATTAACCCCTCAAAATTTCTTATATAAATCAAAACTAAAACCATTTCTAAACAAAATCTAAAACAAAAATCTAAATTATATATAATAAAACCCAAACTATTACACTAACAACAAAAAAATACATTATACTTATACTTATTATCTATTCAAACAATACATATTTCTACGTTTTAAACTAATAATATTCTTTCTTTTTATGATTTAAATATATTTATTTAATCAATAATATTTATATAATAATAATCAATTATAACATATATATCATTCCTTTAATTATATTTAAAAAATATATATATAATTAATAGCACATTATATATAATCATCAATAACAAATCAACCTACATCAACCTACTATATATATATATATGTATATATCACTCAATTTTAATATTATATATCTATATATCAAAATACATATATACTAAAACAACAACAATAAGCAAAGTATATTATTCCTTAAACATAGATATTTTACATCTATGTATTTAACCAACATCGTATTAATTGCTTTTTATTATTCAAAAATCGATGCATCACTACGATTATTATTTGTGTTTATGGCCCTTATGGCGCATTTCTATTTCAAAATATTGTATTGATCAAGATTGTGAGATTTTGCTCCTTCGGATTGACCAGCAAAGGCAGGAAGGAATCTTTACTCCCTCGGCTTTCCGTTCAAAGCGATCATCGGAGCCTCAAAACAAAAGTATACATTCTTTGAATGGACGAAATCCTGCACCACTCTGACACCATGGGAAACCAGTATTTTTTGTTTATCGGGGAACCATCAGAAACCAGGGTTCCTTAAGTGGTGCAGGATTGCGTCCATCCGCGGTATGTCGCCAACTTCGGTCACCCGCGACAAAAACACAACAACGCGCAGTGCACTCGTTCGTCCTCCACCTTCGCCGGGGAACGGGCGCCATACTGGCAGCCACCTGAGTGGCCCAAATTTGAGTCAGGGATCCTTTGGTGGACATCATTTAGGTGGGGTCCACCAACCACTTTGCAGGGCCATCCCCAACAAAAACCATAGTCATATTCTTAGATTCTGGTCCATGTTTCATATCACCCAACAATAATGAGACAAGAAATGGGAGGAGACCCATACATCCCGAGCAGAACACCGTCACATTGATTCCACTTGTCCAACCTTTTGGGGACGTCGACCTTCAAGTCATAAATTGGCGTGTCCAAAAATGCGGCGCACCACAATTCACCCCAAAGTGGCACCCTCTGCTGCGCTTTTCCTTTTGGACTCCCTTGCGCTTCTCCGTTCACGGACTCCTCTCAAAGAAAAAGCCGACGTGTGGTCGCAACGGGCTCCCGACGCAACCCATGACGCCTGTGAGGGCACCAGCAAGAAAGGCCACCGCCACCTCAGATCCCTCGCCCCCCCCTGCCTTTTCAAACATCTGTGGCTCGCCTTTGTTCCAGTTGGTGACCCCGTTTTTGTGAAGAGAACGACAACCGCCATGGGGGGGCCTAAAAAAGGAGACAGCCACATGGAGGAGGCTGTCCACTTCCATCGGAGCAAGGGCGTGGACAAAATCCACTTTCGGCTCCAATTGGCCTGGGTTATGTAAATTCTTCAACTGGGCGTTACCACCATCGCACTTAGCTAAACCACTCACAGAAAGTGGCGCACCAAAAGAAACAAAAACCATTCCAGGATGCCTTCGTTCGCTGAGCCCTGGCAAAAACTCGTGGAGTATGTCCTAAATCCCTGTAAACTCCAACAAACCCTACGGCTGGGAGCCGCACTGGAGAGATTAATGTGTGCCCAATTTCATGGGTCCAGGTTTGACTTGTTGGTCTCATTCTGGATTGCCTTGACGAACAAATGGGAACGGAAAACCAACAGCTGAGCAAGTGCCCAACCAACTATTCAATCTACTCTTGGTTCTGCTATGTTTACAAAGGCTTACACAGGCTTTACCATTACCCTAATTACAACAGGTTCCAAGATCACCAATTAAGGGGACCAATGGGGGTTTTGGGCGCAGTGATCAAAAGGTCAAGTGGGCACACCGTTTAGTTGGAATCCACTCCCATCTTCAATGCGTCACTTTCTTGCGGTCCAGCTTCCTGGCGCCTTTTAGGGACTTTGCGACGCATGGTGTATGCCAATCTTCCGTTCAGTCGCGAGTGCTCCCCGCTCCCCCCGCCGCTTTTGACACGCCCTGTTCCCGAACGAATTTCAAACGTCGGAATCAAACGCGGCCGACCATCTGAGGTCGCAGCCACCTCGGCCCAGCTCACCATCTCCTCCTGGGATGCGCAGCAAACCGCATCAGAAGCTGTCGAACCTCTTGTTGCAGAACAACAACGGCCCCACCACGGACGTAGACACGGGGCCACCATTGACGTAGATAGTTTTTGTTGGTTGGGCTGGGAGAGCAGCATGTTTCATGCCTGAAACCTTGCTTCAGGTATGGATCCCTTGAAGTCAAGGGGAAGCCGAAATCAAACCAGCCACTCCAAGTCCATAATCCTGACATACGCGCGCATACGCGCCCGTGCCCGCACGCGCCATGCAAATCTTGTAAGCATGTCAGCCAACATAACGCTTTCACTCTTTCAAAGAGTGACTAAATACACAAGAACCCCAAACGTATCTTGATCACGGTCGAACCAGCAAGAATGTTTGTTGTTGAAAGTCCCATAGTGAAATGTGGATCTGTCTTCTTTTTTCTTTGGGGGGGGGGGTACATGTATTTTGTTTGGCGTTTGATTTATTTTATGTTATTTTATTTGTTCATTTTTTGTGTGTGGAGGGGGGGGGGGTGAAAGGTAAACCAAAAGGAAAACCGCTGCCATTTCGGAGGGGTCAAATATCCCTCTCTCCCAATCCCTTCTGCACCTGCCACTTCAGCAAGTTCACCTTCTCCTTGACCTTCGAGCTTGCCGTCTGCCAATCTCCCGGTAGACAGATCTTCTTGCAACCTTCTTTCGGGCAGGTTGAACCAATTTGGGCCCAGGTTGGCTTTCACTTGAGAATGGCAGGGGTCATGTTACATGCTTGGCCCAATGCAAGCCTCTGTGCCAGCAAATCGCAGCGATGGTAGCCCAAGTTAGACTCGCAAAGGCACATGCAATCTTAGTTCTCCCAGGACCCCCCACGAATTCGTGCTTTGCAGTGGGTGTCCCTTTGAACAAACCGCAACAATATCAGCTTCCATCTATTTGGCGGTGAGGGTAGCGGCTGGCTTCCTAGTTCCCCTCACGAACCAGGGGGTCGACTCTCCAAACCGCCAATCCAAACCACCAATTATTGTTACATGGCAGTGGGTCAAACATATGTACCCAAAATGGGGCCCCTGGCAAATGGAAACATGGAAAAAAAACCTGTGGTCCCAATGGTTTAATTTTGACCCACAGCCACATCTGAAAACAGATGCAAATCACGGGGACCCGCACAACAACCACCAGGTTCCGAGCCTGCGAGTCATCATGCCTCGGTGCTGTGCTCTCGTGACATTCCCTTGCCTATATTTCCCCTAGATCACCCCTAGCAACTCACCTGGGGCACAGTGTAGGGGCCCTTCTTGTATCAGAGGGTCCATCCAATCTGACTTGCCCTACATCTTCAGAAGCTAGTTGGGTAATACGGTATGTCACCAAACATCTGGGGGGAGGGGGAAGGATGGTACCCTCCCAAAACCCATTTGAATCTTCAGGGTAGCTAGGTCCTCCAGAAAAGAGGTTAGAACAACCTCTTTTGATGTAGTCCATTTTAGCAGGGGAACCCTCCCCCCAAAAAAGGGTAAAAGGGCACTGCTGAGGGACCTATGTAGTCAAATTGGCAGCTCTTCAGCTGACTTCGGCCAAGTGGCACGAGACGGCGAGGCTTCTTCAGCGACCTGCCAAGTGGCCAAGTGGTCGGTAAATCCATCCAGGGGGGCCATGGGGAGGGGGGGCTATTAAGCCCTTAGTAAGGCCTTCTTAAGCGCTTATCCTTTGGCTATCCTGGGCTTACCACTTTGAAACCATGAAAAACCATTGTTTGTTGGTATTTACAGGGCGAAAATTCCAGGGTCTCAAAGGTGGTGAAGGGTTTCGTTCATCCACAGTATCCGTCCGCTGAGAAGGCTTTCAGAGAACGGTCACAGCACATGATTCCGGGCAAACTAGACCAATATGCCACAACATAATTCCTACATCTCATCCATGTGACTTCGGATAGGCCCCACACCAAACAAGAGATGCCTGCAAATGTCGAATGAGTGGTTGCCCTTCTGCTTTCCACAGCAAAAGTCCCAACACATGTACCTTCACCCGTGTCTCTCCGTATTAATATGGGTGTTACTGAGCACTCAACCGGTGGTCTCTTTATGGCTCTGTGGTTTCATTTGAACATCCCCCCAAAAATTGCGGCCGCATGTGCAAAAAGTTATTCCAAAGTCTGAAACAAGAATTGCATCCCCAAGTCAACCGGTCTTGCTGGGGAAAATACCTCCATTACATAACATGCAAAGTGAGGATAGCCTTCACTTCGCCAATCCGCCTGACGCGCAAAGAACGGATGATGGCGTTCACCTGCTGCGGCTGCAGCAGCTCCACCTCGAAGCATGCTCCCATGGTCCCGCAACTTCCCATGCTCAAAACCGCGGAGTACTTGAGCCACCTAAAATTGGATCATTTGCACTGAAATTTGGTGAGTCTCCCAAATGGACCTGTGAGCGAACCTCATATCCGAGTCTTTCACGTCCCCTTTCAGCTCAGTTGCAAGGAACACCAGGGAGACAACTCCAAGTTTCCGGGATGCTCCAAACAAAGTCTTCGCATTTGGCATGGGGATGCCCTGCTTCTTGAGAGGTCTCTCTTTCCGATAAGGCACCGGTCTGTTGACACCCATGGACGCTCCCAGTGCTTTACATCGGAAAGCAGCAGCTGCCCATGAGTCTGCCTAAGAGAACGCCCGCAAACTTGCAGAAAACTGCCTGCTCGACATGAGCCACAGTAGCCTTCCTTGAGCACCTCTAGCGTTGGAGTTGTGTGCACTTCATGTCTGCATGCTAATTTGATGAACGTGCCCCATGTCGTTCCCTTTCCGAAACTGGACCGTTTTGCAATGCAGGGGCTTCTGAAAACATGAATCCCCCTCTGCACTCTACTTTCAGGACTTTGTTGGACGCAAAACAAAAAGACATCACTTTTTTGGGGCTTCCCTAGTTTGAGAAAGGCACATGTGAATCTGCTCATGAAGCCATCCGAAATTGCCGGACTTTCCCTGCCTTGAGGCACTGCACCCCGCTAGCTGGCCGGCTAGTGGGGAAGCGATGAAACACCTGGCAGCTTAACAGGTTAACACATGAGCGTGCACTCAACCAACTTCACTTCGACAAAAAGATCGCGAGAAAACCAAGCCTCCATTTGCTTAAGCCCCCGGAAAAATTACCTAAATTCCAGTAGTGACAGATTCCGATTGAAACCAATAAGGAAAAAAACATATTCCTAAGCAAATGGAAGCAAGCTCATGCCGCCCATTAGCATCTTTGGCCGAGACCTTGGTCTTCCATTTGGTTTTTCGACCCCTGGAAAACATGTCCAGTAGTGATAAATTCCTGTTAAAACCAACAAGGGAAAATAACACATATTCTTAAGTGGAAATGAACTAGCCCAAACTGCTCGGCTTAAACGGCGCCATGTGCCACACGCGGCATGCAAGTTTTTCTGCCAGCCGCTTGTGGGCATGCTGTCCAGCTCACATCTCCGGAATATAGAAGATATCGCACCTGACAAGAACTGTCCAAGTATGGACAACACGCTGAGGAAATCTTCAGGGGGGTGTAATCAACAAAGGGAACAAATATTGAGGCAAGGCTGAAGCGGGCCAAGCTTGCCTGACATATTCTTGCAGCGCGATACTGAGCTCTCAAGGTCAGGGGACGCTCCTGACTCGTTGTGGCAGTTGTTGGTTTGATCTCTCCCGTGCGCGGATCCATGCGATAGGTCGCCAGATGAATCACATGGCCCTGGGTCAAAATCCAAATCGCACCCCGAGTGAACATCCCAATCCAACCATTGAAATAGACTGAAATGGGTGGTGAATTCACCTACTAACCAAAATGGTACCATTAAAATTGGTCTAAAATGGGTGGTTAATTCCCCCACCAACCAAAATGGTACCATTAAAACTGGTTCTAGAATGGGTGGTGAATTCACCTACCAACCAAAATGGTACCATTAAAATTGGCTCTAAAATGGGTGGTGAATTCACCTATTAACCAAAATGATACCCTTCGAAAATGGGTGGTGAATTCACCCACCAACCCAAATGGTACCATTAAAATTGGTTCTAAAATGGGTGGTTAATTCCCCCACCAACCAAAATGGTACCATTAAAACTGGTTCTAGAATGGGTGGTGAATTCACCTACCAACCAAAATGGCACCATTAAAATTGGCTCTAAAATGGGTGGTGAATTCACCTACCAACCAAAATGATACCCTTCGAAAATGGGTGGTGAATTCACCCACCAACCAAAATGGTACCATTAAAATTGGTTCTAAGATGAGTGGTGAATTCACTCACCAACCAAAATGTTACCATTAAAATTGGTTCTAGAATGGGTGGTGAATTCACCTACCAACCAAGATGGTACCATTAAACTTGGTCTAAAATGGATGGTGAATTCACCTACCAACCAAAATGGTACCATTGAAACTGGTTCTAGAATGGGTGGTGAATTCACCTACCAACCAAAATGGTACCATTAAAATTGGCTCTAAAATGGGTGGTGAATCCACTTACCAACCAAAATGGTACCCTTCGAAAATGAATTCACCCACCAACCAAAATGGTACCATTAAAATTGGTTCTAAAATCGGTGGTGAATTCACCTACCAACCAAATGGTACCATTAAAATAGGTTCTAAAATGGGTGGTGAATTCACCTACCAACCAAAATGGTACCATTAAAATTGGTTCTAAAATGAGTGGTGAATTCACCTACGAAACAAAATGGTACCATTAACATAGATTAAAATAGGCTCTAAAATGAGTGGTGAATTCACCAACCAACCAAAATGGGATCCCAAAACGGCTTTGAACCACAGCACATGTCCGCCAAGCTGCAGGTTTAGCACGGCCACAGTGACGGCGTTGATGGCCATCCTCGCGCGGTTGGGGGTGTGGGCCGCGGTATTCCTTGGGACAAAGTGTGATACTGTGGATGGACGAAATCCTGCACCACTTTGAAACCACGGGGAACCATTGTTTGCTTGATATTCACGAGGGAATCATCAATCCAGGGGCTCTTAATTAGGTGGTGCGAAATGGATTTCGTCCATCCACAGTAGTGGCGTCATTTTCAGGGGTAGCCTTTTTGGGGGGCAAAAGGGAACCAAATGGAAACCACCCATTCGGGCCCACCAGTGTGAGACGAACTCATCTCTGAACTGATTTCACATACCTCAACATGTAATGTAAACTACACCGCAGCGTGCAGGAAGCTCTTTCTTCTCGTGGTCGACCCTTTTCCCCAGCGTGCTAGGTGCATAATGTTGAGCCCATGGAAAAAAAACAACCCCAGGTTATTCTTAGGGGGTTGTCCCTGGGTTTAGTAGGGAATCCACACTTTTGGGTTGATTTTTACGGGGACAACATTGGAGCGCCTAGAGCTTGGGGGCTCCTTTTTCAGTCGAATTGAGGGGGAAGAACGCTCCCAGGCACCCTGAAAAATATGGTAAGGGATCTGTTGCATGGAGGGACCTGGACAAAATCCATTTCGCACCGTTCAGAAGCCCTGGTTTGGGATTCAATCCCCAACATGAATACCAACAAACTGGTTTCCTTTCGTGGTGCAAACTGTTGTCGTCCATCAGTCTGGTTGAACGATTCTTTCTGTCCGTCCTTGGCCCGAAGTTGGCATACAGGAGCCCAAGTCCTAAGACGACTCCGAGACCGAGCTGTTTTGTGGCCTTGTTGGGGCGCTTCAAGTTGCAAGGCAACCAAACGGATTCTTGAGCATGGTATTTTGGGAACCAGCTCATCTTGCCCATGTGCAGTTTGCTATGAACCTGGTGGCTGGGCGGGAAAGGCTGAGGCCCGCAATCGACGGAATGCTCACCAAGTCTCCAAGTTCGCGCCGTGCAGCCGAAAAGGCCACAGTGGTGTAGTGTGGGGCCTTCCCAAATCGGTGGCGACAACTGCTTGACTGTGCTCTCTGCATGTCCGTCCGTGCGTGCTTAGTTGCCCGTCTATTTTTCTGAGTGTGGGTGTGTTGGATTTTTTGACTGTATATGTGATAAACCCCCCCCGGGGAACCCTCAACCAGAAAAAGCAAAACACCAGTGGGAACAATCAGAAAATAATACCGAACAAAACTTGACAAACCACACACACACACACACAAACCACGGTCCTCCAAAAGAAGGGTACCCCCGGGACCAGAAAAGGAGGAACAACCAGCAAAACCAAAAAACAGCTCAAAGACTAAGATTGAGTGTTGGCAATACTAGATTTTGAATTGGCACTCCTAAATTGAGATTTGGACACACTAAATTAAGTACTGGGAATCAAAGATTGATTCTTGGCAACACACATTTTAGATTTGGCAACATTCTGGCAATACGAAATGAGGCAAAGGGGTAGCCCACAGAAGTCCCTGATCCTCTTCAGTCTGACTTAGGCAAGCTTTTCTGGAGGACGCTTTATCCAATCCCTTCCCAGCTCAAAGGCTAAGATGAAGTCTTGGCCATGCTAGATTAAGCATTGGCAATGCCAAAATAAGATGTGGACATGCAAAATTTGCTCTACTGAGAATGTAGATTTGATGTATATACCAGCAAAAAAAGGGCAGACATCACTCAACACCTCTGCAAATGCTGGCAAATTATTTTGCTTTCTGCCTTTCCCACGGAAATATCTGACCAAGGCAAAAGCATCTCAAGGATCTGCTCATCTTCAGTCTGTGTGAATCATTCCAAGCTGCTAGGTCTAATTCTCCTTTCCCCTCCAAACAGACTTTAACTTTAACACATAATCCAAATCAACACCTAACATCCCTGAGAGCACTGAGAACTGAAATGAGACTCTCTTGGACACCAACTCGCGCAATCCACCGGCTGGAACGGAAATCGGGTGGGAAGCACGGCCACCCTTTCCGCAAGGAAAGGAATTGGGTCGTGCACATGTTTTGCCGCTGGCGCGGGCCATTTTTTTGCCACTAGGAAGTGGCCCCCCGAAAACTACCCGGGGGAGGCTGTTGTCACCTCCATTTGCTTAAGCACCCAGTAAAAACTAAAAAATATACTCAATAGTAATAGATTCCCTTTAAAGCCAACAGGGGACAATCAAGAATATTCTTAAGCAAATAGAAGCTCACCAGGGGGATCTAGAACGTCGTCCGCAGAGCTTCGCCTGATGCACTTCACCCAGGGCGGACATCCGGCCAGCCACGAGGGTTACGTTGTGAACCCACCTAATGCAAAGCCATCCGTGTGGTGAATCGCACTTGCCCTCTCTTCAACCATCGACATGGGTGTGATTTTTGGAGTACACACTAAAACACATGGCAGGAAAGGGACCCTTCAGTGGACATCATCCGCATGGGAATGTAATGGCTGTTTTGGTTCATGTAATCAAATGAAGACCCCTGTAAGTCTTTGGGAATGACCAACCATGGAGCCCTACATAAGGAAAAAGCAACAATTCGCAACTGCATTGCTGGAAAGTGTCTAAAGCGCCCACATTTGATTTGGTTCAAGTATGATAATTGTCTCACCTGAAATGAGGAATGGGACCCCAAGACGGTGTGTGTGAGGTCGCAACCAAATCGCTGTGCGAGGTTGCCACATTGACAGTGTCACGAAAACACCGTCCACCACTGATCAGACTGTGAATCCCATTCCATTTCGCTTTCTTGAGACCCTAACTCAATACGAGGCCCTGAATCCTCAACTGGCTGTGGCTCAAAATTGAAGAGCTAGGGTTACGCAGGTTTTAGGCCTTGGTTCCATTTACCAAGGTGTGATTTTGGTACATGTTTTTGAGCCACAGCCTGCACTTATCAACATTCTCGGCTCAAGCGCCAAAACGCCTCCAACCAAATCCCAATGAGTTGCCTGCGGGAAGGAACCAACGAAAACTCCCGGCGCCCTCGAGGTACATGAACGCTTGGGGGGACTTCCGTACAGCTGCGCTCAAGTTCTTCGAACGAAGAAAAAAAGGGCACAAAGAGTGTGAAGCATGTCCGGTCCACCTTCGAGAAAACTCGAGCTCTTGCATTTTTCGTGGTGCGCTTAATATCAAATAAGCCACTGACATACATGAGTGTGTCTTAACATAGGGGCTCCAAAAAAAGGGTGGTTTCCATTGGTTGTCCTTTAAACTGAGCCCAAAAGGGTACCTTCAAAATGAGACACACCCATATTTAGTGTCACCAACGCCGCGCCAACGCCCAACTAATATGTGGTTTTTGGGTGAGTCAGTAACCCCCCTTGCTCAAATGGTGAACCCTCTCCGCACTTGTGTGGGGTTGGCCCTCAAGCACTCACATGTTTCTTTGTTTTTCAATTTGCCTGCCGGACCCTTTGCGGCGTTTGGAGAAGTCAGCCATCAAAACATTGCTTTGCGCTGCTCAATGTTCTAAGCTCTCCAATTCCACTAGCAATTGAGCTGTTCCACTGGGATAATAGTAACCAGCCAAACATTCTTGAGCCAACAAGGTAGCGTCGTTGGGACAATAAGAGCCAGCTCACTAGTTGACGCGCAAATTGTGGCCATATCTGGTGAACCAGCTAAGCGAAGACGATCATCTACCTGACCAGCAAACCAGCTACTCGGCCTGGCTGGCGAATTCATGGACTAACTACCGAGGTAACGAACTTCAACAATTGTTTCACCAGACAAAGTGATGAACTATCTGACCAACCAATTGGCTAACTGGCTAGCCAGCTGACTCGCTTCGTAGCTTCTTGCGTAACTAGCTTTGAACATCGCGTTGTTTGCTGTATGTCAAAGTAACTGACTATCAGACCAACTCACTACTGAATCAGCCTAGCAAACTTGCCTACTCAGCTGGCTACTTGGCAACGTGCGCTGGTTGCACCGGCAACTAGCATTCACCCGCATTCGACAGGAAGGCATAGTTGTTCACGGTTTTGAAATTTCCGCCCCGCCTTCGCCTTTTCTTCTTGGCAGCTTGATCATGGGAAACCAGTCGCCAAAAGGGCTGCATTTCCATGCAGGGCGCGCCTGTTTTGAAGGCCCCCCTTCTTGGGGCTGTTGCAAAGGGACATCGTCAGGGGACTAGCCACATCGCCCCTGAAATCCCTGAGCCCAATATGGATGGGGGCGATCTGTTTTGCGGGAACCTTCTTTTTGGGGTGATGAAAATGGAACCCAAAAGGACGCTAACCATTTTGGGGGTCCAAGTTCCTCCTGTGATACGTACCCAGGCCCGTATACAATTCCCCCGACCCAAATACCTTCAAACTAAGTCTAGGTTGTAGGATTCCTCGCAAAAAAAAGGAGACGCTCATAGGCCCATAGGCTTGTGTTGCTTTTCAGAAGCGAAGCCTGTCTTTTTTTTTTGGGGGGGGTCCCCCAGAAAAGAAGAAACCACACATCTCCCTTTTCTCCTTTCCCAGTCGGCTGGGATCCGCGCTGGGTGGCGAGAGATCCGCAGGCGCCAGCACCCAAGCCCGCCAAGAAGTTGGAAGCACGGCCTGGACATGGCACCCGGCAGGACCGTAGAAAAAGCCTCAAGTGGTCATGCGGTGAAAACGTGGCAATTCGGCTCATCTCCAAATTGGCTAGGTCCTCCAGTAGAGAGGTTAGAATACGGGTACCCTTTTTACTGTGGGGAACCCTCCCCCAAAAAAGGGGTTAAAAAGGGTACTACTGGGGGACCTAGTTGGGGGAAGCCGCAAAAAGTGCTTCGGCTTCTTCTCGTTTCCCTTTTCACCCTTCTGAAATCTGGGCGGGACTCTGTCGGAATCTTTCGAAAGCGCTTCATCGCTGTCGCTGGAAGTCCAAGGGTTTCAACACATGCAGCCTGCAAATTGTCAACTGTGGTCCGGACTCAACACTCTGGGCCGTGCCCAAAGAAGCACGTGTACCACCAACACAACTAGGATATGTCCATGTGACCTTCTGAAAAAAATGATGGCCCTGGTACATGGGGGACAAAACCAATCTAAACCGGTGGAACCCATCTATTCTAACCAAACTAAACAAAAAGGACACCTATGGATATCTCTGTATCATACATAATTCCCCGGAACCTCCCTACCTGCCAACACCACAGGGCCCCATACCAAGGATCCCAGTGATTGCCAGTTCCTGGCAGCCGATCGAACCCAAGTGCTATCAACCCATGGGTTCCCCAGACTCCGGTGCTTTGGGCAGAGACCCCAGCTTTGGGGAAGCAAACAGGTCTGGCTACGTATCTTAGGGGAATCTGGGATCCACTGGGTGCCCAACAAAAAGCTGTACCCAAGTATCTGGCAACACACAAATCAAACTGAGGATAGTGTTGACAGGCGGCCAACATGCCACCAACCAACTTGGAGGATCATTTCCAAGATACCAAGGCAACCACTTGGATATGCAATGGAGCCTTTGAAGACTGAACGCACATTGTCTGGTCACAGAGGCAAAACACTCGGCCTCAACTGGATGCTGCAAAATGTTTTACGCTCAGAAGAAAACAAACACATCAATTTTGGGAACCTTCTTGGCTCATTTTGTGGAACCTCATTGGAAGGTGTCGGGTGTCGGATCCACTTACCAAAAAAACACCTTGGTAACAACAAAAAGGAAACGGATGGTTGGAAGCTTGGCTTCTGCCAAGATGGCTGTGAAGATGTTCACGCAAGCAAAATCGGGGAACTGTCACATTGCTAACTCCGATGTGCAACAGTCTAGATGCCCCGACTGCGTGTTTCTCGAAATTGAGGACCTCTGGAGGTGGTTGGTTTCCTTCTGGTTACCATCCACCAAGGGAGCTCTTGGAGAAACACCCTGGTATCCAAAACCCGGTATTGACATGGTCTACCCAGAACCATATTAAAGAATTAGAAAGGCCGCGGAGGCACCCATTTGTGGCAAGCAGAGTATCCCTAACATAGGTGGCCTTTTGGAAACATAGATGGCCCTGGTAAATCGAAGAAACCCCACCTAAACCAGTGCAATCCATTTTTAATCAAACCAACCTCAAAAGGACACCTATGATCCCCAACCATTTGTGGCAAGGAGATTATCCCCAACCTTCGTCTACCTAGAGTCTCCATGACCCTTTGAAAACGGTTGGTCATTTCCCTAAATAAATAGGGGTCATGGACCTATTTGGGTGTGGCTCAAAATTAAACAGGAGGGGGTACGCAGGTTTTGGTTCATGTTTCCACCAGGGCAACCCATTTTGAAATTCCGGTTTTTGAGCCACAGCCATATGTACAACAACAAAAATGATTCCCGAAAAATTAAAGAAACAACAAGAGAGAATGTAACTTATATATATATATATAACTTTTTTGAGCCACAGCCATTTATCTACCTAGAGTCTCCATGACCCTTTAAGAACGGTGAGTCATTTCACTAAATACAATTGGGCCATGGACCCATTTCTTCTTTAAAGGGTCAGAAGGCGACTCCAGGTACCCGGCCATTCCCCCGCTCGCTGGCTCGAGCCACACCTGGCAGGCGCGCTCCGAGCTGCGCCTGGCGCAGGGGTTCAGTGGATCCGGGCGTGGGAAACCTGGAAACCATTTTCCTGGGCACTTGGTAAGTGGTTGCCCACTGAACGGAGACTTATGACGCTGGTAAGTGGGTTACAACCATTTTCCTGGGCTGTTCAACATGGAGTGGTCAGTGGCCAAGGGTCAGTGGTCAATGGTTGACCAATGGTCAGTGGTGAGGCCAATGGTTGACCATGGTCAATGGCTTTCTTATTGGGTCGGCCAATCCTAATCCAAAATCCGTATAGGGAAGCTACTACGCGTAGTACGCAGCAAACTCCGTGCGTAACCCAAGGCAAGGATTAAGGATTACCTTTGAACAGCCCGGTTTTCCAGTGAAACTCTTAGGGTGGTTTCAGTGCGTGCCTTTTCTGCTACATGGAATGACTGGAGAAAGATAAACCTTTGTATTTGTTTGGAAGGGTCGCTCCATGGTACCCCCGTGCCACGCATGGAAGTGTGCCACCTGTTGCGACAAGGTTTGAAACAATCTCTGCGAAAACATCTCACTCTGCTCCAGAAGAAATTGCCGTCAGGTCTCAATTTGTGCGTACAGACCTGTAAACTTCTTTCCAAATCTGGAAGAAAACTGATTGAACTTCAAAAACCTCGGCCACAAAAGCAACATTCGGCTCGGCGAATTCGGTCACCCAAACCCCAAAGGTCACGACTGAATTGGCCCAGTTCCATCTGGCAACTGCCCCCATTTGTGGGTCCGAAACCCACCATCCTTCCCATATCCACCATTTTTCCCTCGGATCAAGATAGGAGCTCCAGCAAACATTGGAGGCACCGCCAAAACTTCAGCTTCCCTCCAATTGGAGGTTTGGATGGGTGGGTTCCATTTGTCCTCTGCAAACGCCAGAGGTTCAAATCTCCAAGCCACCAATCCAAACCACCAATTAGGTGTTACCCGACCAAAGGGAATGTACCGAAGCATCCTGGCAAAAAAAACTCATCAAACTCAGGATGATGTTGACAGGCGGCCAACATGCCCCCACCTATTTATTTGGAGGATCATTTCCAAGATACCAAGGAACCACTCGGACATCGAATGGAACCAGCCTTTGAAGATTAAGCACGCTTTGTCTGGTCGCAGTGACAATACACCTTGCATCAACTGGAAACTGCAAAATGTTTTCCTGTCAGAAGGTTGAAGCTGGAAACTGAACACACACATCAATTTTGGGAACCTCTCAGAAGGAAACAAACACATCAACTTTGGGAACCTCCTTGGCTCATTGTGTGGAACCTCATTGGAAAGCCCGCCTCCGCCGCGGCATCGACGCGCTCGGCGATTCCAGGCCCGAAGTAGAGGCCGCCGCCTATCAAAAACTTGTGTGAGATATGCACAAGTGTGAAAAAAAAGCTTCATGTAACTATTATAAATGTATGAAGGTATATATATATACACATGTATGCATGTATGCATTAGTGTATAGATGTATGAATGCATATATGCATACATGTATTTATGCATGAATAAATGTATGCATATGTGTAAATGGATGCACATATCCATGTATACATGCATGCCTGTATACAGTACTGCATGAACGCATGTATGCATGTATGCATGTATGTATGTGTGTATGCCTGCATCTAAGCATGTGTATGCATGTGCATAAATGTATGACATCACAAGTATGCATGTATGCATGTGAACGCATGTATGCATGTATGCATTTCTCTGTCTGCCTGTATGTATGTGTGTATGTACGTACGAATGCAGAAATGCATGTATGCATGCATGCATGAATGTATGAACGCATGTATGCATGCATGTGTGCGTTTATCTGTATGCCTGTATGCCTGTATGCCTGTATGTATGTATGTTTGTATGAATGAATGTATGAATGTATGTATGTATGTAGGTAGGTAGGTATGTATGTATGTGTGTGTGTGTATGCATGACACATCTACACATGCATACACATGTTGTTTCAGACAACACCGAACTTACATTGTACAGCTGGGCAGCTACGTCTTAATGTGTGCCACGTTCAAACTTCCTGATGTGGGCCATGTTCATGGCTGAGAGAATGGCAGCCTTTACTATGGTCGTCTGGATTTTCGCTTCGGGGCTTGATGACGATCTCTGGCGACCGCAAACCAAGCCAGTCCACAACAAAACGCAAAAGTCAAATGGCGCCTGTAGAAGTCGGAAAGAGAGTGGGGTCATGGTTCCCTTGCTTCTCCTTGGTTTCCCCCCCCAAAAAAAAAGCAAAAAAGGACACCCCCCAGCCAAAAAGCTTGCTTTCCCTTCGCTTTACAGGACCCCCCCCCAAGAAAAAGAGAAGCTGACGACGCCTCACCGGCCTGTGCCGCAGCCGGCACGCAGGAAGGCCCACAGCACGCCCGGGGCCACGTTTTGGCGCAGGAAGCCAAGGAGCCCTAGTCGTTGAGGGAGGGAGACGGAGCCCTGAGGGCCAAGGTGTCCTCTTGGGGCAACTAGATGGCCCTGCTCCTTAGCGGGTTTCGACTTCCATGACCACCGTCCTGCTGTCAAAATGAACCAACACCCTTTGTGGTATCTGATGAGCGTGCAGTTAAGCACCTTAGCCCAACGTTAGGTTCATCCCTCATCGCCAGTTCTGCTTACCAAAAACGGCCCACTTAGAGTTGGCATTTATCCCAGAAGTTCAACGAAGCAACCACTGTGGAGGATTCAACCACCAGGTAAACCGGGGACACCCATCAATTTTTCGACCAAAACAGCCAACCAGGACACCTATGCCTGAGGTTTGGTTTGGGCGCTAAGCATCGCAGCCCAGAAAGGACCAGACTGTGGACGGTTGCGAACTCCGCAACCGCACCACGAAATGAAACCATTATTGTTGTTTTTTGTTTTTAAGATTCCAATCCCGGCCCCTGGAAAAAATATAAAATTCGACATCCTGCACCACCCAAGAAACCATGGGAAGCCATTCTTCGTTAGTATTTACATGGGAGTCATCATTCTAGGGTTTCTTCGGTGGTGCAGGATTTCATCCATCCACAGCAGCGGCATATGATACCACGCAGTTTGGCCACAGCCAAACTGATTGGACGGTTCCTGCGATGTGAAGGTTTGGCTGTCCTGGCTTTGCGGTGAAAATTTCCAGGGTCCCACCAACCTGACCGGAGAATGCTGGACTCGACCGAACCTCTTGACTTGGTGCTTTTTTGGGCTGCTGAGCAAAGGGAAATCGGGAATCGACCAGCACCCAAGTGTTCAGCACCCGTCTAACCAACGCACCCAAGTGTTCAGCACCCGTTCAACCAACATGCATGGTTGACTTTGTTCTAGGCCTTCCCCATTCTTTCCAGGCATCCTTCTTTCTACAAAACCACCCAAAACCCTGGGAAAACAGCTTATTTTTGAAAATAAAGATGGTTGAACAGAATGGGGAATCAACCCCTAGATTTGTAGGCAAATGGCCAGCTGCATTCAAGCAACCGCCAAGCCTTTGCAAGGGCATCCCCAACTATGGAAACTATCAGCCAGGGCAATGCGCGAGATCTTCAGAAAACCACTCCCCCACGAGCTAAAAGGCTTCGATCCCCTTTGATCACAAGGTTCCATATCTTTCCTGAGGGGTGAAACAGGGGGAAGCCTGTGGTTTTCCTGCTGTTGAAAGATGGCGGTTGGGGCTCGTCCTTTGGCCCATAAAGTCAAACAGGGGATCAACGAATTGGCAGAGCCCCACCAAAATGCGTGGTTTTCCCTTGGTTTCTTCAACACAGTTCCAAACAAGGTACCCTGGACAAACAATCAAGAACTTGGTTGGGAATTGGCCGAATCACTTGCGTAATCTTGTTTCGACTAATTACCCTTTCGCGCGGTTCCCCGGATTCGACATTCGAAGCCGAATGCTGGCTCCTCTCAAAAACACACGCCAGTGTGGGCTCCCTTGCAAAGGAACAATAATATGGCGGCGGCTTTGCCTCATGTTTGAGTGCATCTCAAATGAGGACCTACTGCTTGTGGAAGATGTTGAAATGCAAGCCAAAAAGAACGCAAAGCCATCTGTATGTGAGGGCTGATCAACATTCCTGTCCCAAGTGACCAAGGTTAACTTTTCTCATCTAGTGTGACACATCATCTTTTCGTGGTATTTTCCCCAAGGGTCATCCCAGGCAAAGGACCTTTGATCAACTCCATGTGTCCAACTCAGTTCAATACCGCCAATGAGCGAACGGATCCACCGATGCGCCGATGCGCAGCCGCCTGGCACAAAGGGCGGCTCGATCTGGAAGTGCCTGTAGGTGTCCTGCGACGTGTTGGGAGTGTTCTTGACCTCACTTCCTGAGTGGATTGGCCAGAAAAAAACCTGCACTTTGTAGTTACCACCAAGAGTGGCCAGAAACATCTCTCAGATTCCCAGTGGATTTCCATGGAGAAAACAAGGCATCCTTTGTTTGGTTGGTTGAGTCTAAAGTTGAAGGGGAACCCTCCCCCAAAAAGGAAAACTAGGCGCCACTGGGCAACAAAGACCTGCACTTTGTAGTTACCACCAAAATCGTCTTCCCCAAAAAACAATGAAGTCCATGATCTCAGGAAGTGAGTAACACAAAGATCCAAGCAGCCGTCTTTGTGGTGGTCAGTGCTTCTGAACCCTCTAGATGAGTTCAGATTGACATTGAGGCAACTCAATATTGATTTAATTTAAGGCTCTCTGACTGATAAGAATGCCTGGCAATATCATCACAAGAAAGCGGTATGAGGCCATTTAATATGTACACACACAAGCATGTATGTCTATGCCTATATAATGCACACACATCTGTATAAACCCCAAACTGCAAAACTCATAGTGGAGCGTCAAACACCAATTCCCCGAAAGTGATTCGGCCCCATGGACATGAGGGTGCATCAACATGCATCAACCGAGTCGAGACTCATCCTGGATTCCATTGATGAAATGAGCAAGGGACAACATTGCATGATTCCCCAACTCACTTGCCCAGTGGCCAGGGCCTTCTTTTTGGGTTGGTTGACTTTAAAGAGAAACCCTTCCCCCCCAAAAATGGGCACCACTGGGCAACTGGGCCAAAAAGACGAATCAGAATGGGGCCCGGCCCCCAGAGGGTTATTGTGGGTACTTTGGGTGCTCCACAACCCCCCTGCGCCGGCATCGGCATCGTCAGTCACCCAAATCCTGAAATGGGATTGGTCTGGCTGGCTGGATCCAAACTGAATACACTTGGAGTGTCCGAACTCCTGTGGGCCGTCAATATGAATTGGAACCTCGACAATTGTCTAACTTCTCGACTAGAATATCTTCAGCAAATTGTGCCTGATCATCCATACTTCAAGTATGAGGATATGTTGACCATAGATCTCGGGAGTACTTTGAGTAAACACATGTTTGACCCTAGACTTCGGGACTTTGGGTGAACGGATGCTTTGACCATAGATTCCGTTCGAACCCTGTTCGACACTTTGAGAGTTTCTTATCCCCTGCGTGATTTCTGGAATCCCTAAGGGGGGTAGGTACAAGGGGGGTGGGTAGTTAAGAGCCTTAGAGCTCCTTGCGGTTCTCCAGGCATCCTTAGGGTTCCTTCTGGAAGCCCCCGTCTTGGACCACCCACCCTTTGGGGACTCTAAGCCCGGTCAAAAACCCTGCCTGAATGGCCCAGTTGTACTGGAGAGATGAGAAGGGGACGCCTCAGACAGGAAAGGTTTCCGGCCTTTCGACAGCTCACCAAAGTGACAAAGGTAGGGTCCCTGATTTTGGTTCGTCGAGCAATCAGACGCACTGCGTGTCAAAAGGTCGAGTGGTAAAAACAAATCATTAAGGGTACCTAATTTTTAAAGGCTGCTTTCACTTTCTGGCAGAAACATCAACCTAAAGGCAAAAATACCCCTTTCGTCTTTTGTCCCAGGAGCCAAGGAGGGTGGTTTGATTGGTCCGGCATGCCTTTTGAAATGATCCAGTCCCGGCATGTGGTGGGACAAATTTGGGTGAGTTCCTCCATTTCTCGAATGAACTCTGGACTGCCAGTAATTTTTGGACCCAGAAAAAAACGCAGGGGTGTCAACTCAAAACGGGGACCCTGGGAACTTCATGTGAGCGGGTCGGGTAATGAGCGTGCCCTCTCAAAATGCCCGGTTTCTCGTTGAAGTCGCTTGTAAACTTGTTGCTTCTTCTTTCGTTTGCTCTTCAAACATCAATCCAAAGGCGCCCATTTCGATTTGTTGGGAACCACCTGTGCCTCAGACTGAAGTTGATGGGCATGGATCTCAATGGAAAACCTCTTGGCGCACCTCGGTTCCAAACGCTACTGCCAGCCCCACACCACCTCTGCGGGAAATGATGTGCAGCGAACCAATCTTCAAACCCCGACTTTCCCTTAGATCCGGCGGTTTGTGAAACCCATCCCTTCGCCATCAAACCGAGGAAAAACAACACAAGGTACGGTAGAAGCCAACCTGTGCAATTAGGGGAACAAGTTGGGTTCCACTCCCTCATTTATCTCGTAACTTACCACGGTTTTGTGGGTGGGCGTGGTTGGTCTACTAGGTCCCCCAGTGGAGAGAATAGAATAAGGGTAGCCCTTCTTCTGTAGTCTATTTTAGCGGGGGGGTTCCTCCCAACCAAAAAAACAACGGCAAGAAAGGGCACCTAGCCGGGGGACCTAGATCCACAGTATGGAGCAAGTAGAAGCCAACTATTGCAAGTAGATGTAGGGTTTATAGGGTTTAGGGTTTAGGGTCAATCAAATTATCTCGTAACTTATCACGGCTTTGTGGTGCGTGGTTGGTTTACTTGCAAAGACCTAGCATCCAGCGTTTAGCTCACGGCCAGGCCGCCCACAGTACCGCAGGCCAGCATGATGGACAGCGCGGGCGGCGCCACCTCGCAAGCGAGGGCGCGGGGGTTGGTGGGAGATACCGAAAAACCACCTCTCCGTCCATGGCCAACGTTAATAGGAAATAACCCTGGGCTGCCCGTTTTCGGATGCCCTGCTAAAAGTGAATAACTTTTAGTGGTCTAAATGGAAACTACCACTAAACACTCAAAGGCTAAAAAGCGAAGGAACCAGATGGCTGGGAGCCACCAAGAACCAACAACACCAATTTGGTCCTTTACTTTGGGAGCTGAACGTGCTGTGACGCCTACGTTTCTCCATCTCCTTCGACCTGATTAAACTTTGCTTTTGCTTCCTTTTGTGGACTAAATCAAAAACCGAACCAACAAAAACACAAACCCAAGCACACAGGCAAATGAGGGAACGACCAAAGGGCGTGTGCCTAGTGTTTTGTTGATAAAGAAACAAGATGTCCAAGACCCGTGGTCAGGTACCGAGTGAGAAGGTTACCCAGCCCCATGGTAAAGAAACAACAAATTTGAGTTCGTGTGTGCGCGTCTGTACGCAAATGTGCATGTGTATGTGTGAATGTGTGTGTATGTGCATTTATCTCTCTTGCTAAGCAGGAGCCCTGCGCAGGACTTTTCCAGGAAATGACAAATAACTATGGTCCACTTTTGACATGCGCCCCACTATTTGCACAGACCCCATGATTCTACCCATCGGTGAGATCGTCCTTGCCCGATCCCTCCCCCGCCCGCGCAGCCAGCGGGCATTGTCCAAGGCCAGTCTGACTTCTCGTGTGCCAGTGAACTGGGCGCAGACCACAGCCGTCTGCTTACCTGTCAACTCAAAATAGGCGAACCCCGTTTGGATGGTTTTTTTCGGGACTTCGGAGACCCCACATTTGGAGAGGTTTCAAGGGACATGCCCCGAATTTTGAGGAGCTCCCAACGCTCCTATTTTTTCAGGGATCTCTGGCAACTCAAGAAACCAAGAGGGGAAACCCCGCGACCAAGCATTGGTACGTTTCAAGCACAAATCCGTAGCTGCCAAGGTGAGGGCGCACGGCTTAAGTATTCATCAAGCTACGTTACAGGCGCAAGGGCGCGAACAGGTTCATAACCAAGCCACTCACATCTCTGCCTGTTGTTAATGTCCAATCGCAAGCTCCAGCTAAAGCAGCCCCTGAGGTGCCACAATGCGTTGATGGAATTGCGGGAGGCTCTGCCCTTTCGGCCAAATTCAGTCAGGCGAATGCTATATGGAAGCGGTTTTCTTTGATTTGGGCAACCCAGGACCCGCTAGCGAAATTGACGAACGTGAACACCAAAAATACTGCTCTCATACCCTTCACACTTTCTTTCTTTCTTTCTTACTCACTCACTCACTTACTTATTTAATTACTTACTTACTTGGGGGCGCCCCTGGTCCTGCCTTCTCCAGCCATCTCCCTGTCTATCCCTGCCCTGCGATGCTTCCTTACGCCACAAAGATTTCATGGCAACCAGAAACCCAGCGAGCGGCCTTGCCCTGGCCCCAAGCCTCTTGTCCAGGGGTGCTTGTACATACACCTTTTACACCTTGGACAAATGAACCCAAAATGCCTGCTGATGTTCATACCCCTCTCCCACAATGTAAATATACCCTCTAAGGGTCCAAACATGTTCCGGGCGTCACATGTAGCTCGGGGGCGTCAAGTATGGAAGGCGAAGCCCCAACTTTGAGCCTCCACAGCAACACCTTGACTCAATGTTTGCAATCACGAGGGACGCTATCCAAAACTATCGGGAGTTGGGATCGAGGCCTTTCCCATGAATTCAGTAGCTGCAGCCAACTCTAACAAATGCTCATGAAACGCGATAAGCGCTTGCGCAAATCAATTGTTTCTCACGCCGACCTATGCGCGATCTATATATAAAGCGATCAAACCTTTGTCGACGCCATGTTGCGCTAACCGATGCTTTGTCCCGCACTGAAACTATCCCAACGAATCGGCGCCCTGTGATTAGAGCGGGCACTCGCTAACGCTATCCGTCAGAATGCCTCATTTTGGAGGCCCCACGCGGTGCTAACCGACGCTAACCAATGCTATCCGACGCCTATCCAACGCCTATCCGACGTCTATCCGACGCCTATCCGGCCGCCTACCCGACGATATTTGACGCTATCCGACGACTATCCGACGCTATCCGACGCCTATCCGACGCTATCCGACGCCATCCGATGCCCATCCGACGCCTATCCGACGCCCATCCGACGCCCATCTGGCGCTATCCGACGCCCATCCGACGCCCATCCGACATCCATCCGACGCCCATCCGACGCCCATCCGACGCCGATCTGATGCTATCAAGCGGCTTAAGGTAGTTGCGATGCCTATCCAACGCTCGGGGCGTCAAATGGCTTCATTTTGAAGCCCCATGGACAAGCTATTTGTTCAGGCCCTTACTCTTGGACCCCGAAGCTCCCTGAGGCCCCCGCGGGGCGCCCCTCAGATATCAATGCCTCCCGGGGTGTGCATTGCAAGGCCCCGGGGCGCAATGCACACCCCATCGACCCTTAGGGCCCTTATAAAGTGGGTTGGAAACCACGGAAGCCAAGGGTACGAACAAGGGGTATGTACTTCCACCCTTAGATCTTGGCAATAGCCCGCGGAAGCGGCAAGCCCACTCTTGCCCAAAGCATGACCTTCCGATTGATTGGCAGCAAGTTTCTGGGCTTCCCTCCTTTTGCTTCACCTTTTTGGAAGGTGCATCCCCTTAGGCTTTCAGCTTTTTAGTTCGTTTAGTGGTATCTTCCATTTAACCCACAAGTTCGTCACGTGTAGCAGGGGATCCGGAAACGGACAGCTCCCATATTTTGCCGCTACGAGCGATTCCAGCGATCCGAGTTGTAAACCCGCGAAGCCAAGGCCCTTTCTTGGGGACGTCTTCGAGCTCTGGGGTCTGCGGCAATTTGTTTTTATGATTCAAGTTGTTGCATAAATAGGCACTACTGTGGATGGACGAAATCCTGCACCACCCAAGAAACCCTGGAATTATGATTCCCTTGTAAATACCAACAAACAATGGTTTCCCATGGTTTCAAAGTGGTGCAGGATGTCGTCCATCCACAGTATGATTTGACACCGTTCTTGTTTTTGGTACTGTACTAGTAGTTGACGAATACGGGAAAATCCAATTTGGAGAGGATCTGGATTCTGGAGGCAATTCCCGCTCTTCTGATAATCCGCGCAGGGAACCAACAAGTCAAGGTTTTGATTGGCCTTGTTATAACCATGTGCCGTTGGTAGCAGGGGTTCCTAAAGCTGCTTTGTGTCAAAGGGGAAATCGGGATAGATGAAGTTAGACTGGTTGATACACCACCTTCTAGTACCAACTGTTGCAGGAATTTGTCCATCCAGAGTATGTGCGGGTTCCTGTTCTAGGTCCTCCAGAGAGGTTAGAATAAGGGTACCAACTTTTTTCTGTAGTCTATCTTAGTAGGGGGACCCTCCCCCAAAAAGGGGTTGAAAAGGGCCATGACGGACATGGCCCTGCGCTCGAGATGCCGATGGTCCTGTGGAAGGTGCGCCACCGGTCCTTGGGCGTCAGGGAAGGCAGCCGCCCCGCAGAGGTACGCACCACCTCGGGCCGAAACGGGCGATGCCGAAACGTCACCCCCAATACGTCCGGACCCTAAACTGTGGACTTCCTTCCCCCCCTCTTTCAGAAGGAAATCATTTCTGCATTTTCGGCGGTGATTTCGGGTCCAGGCTTGTCCGAAAGTTGACGTTTGTTTCCCTCTGCAGCACGGAGGTGGACATAGGTTTCAGCTTCTCCCTCCCTATTTTAACACACCCACACGTCGCCGCGCATGGGAAGCTCATACCATGTTTGCAAGCTCGTGCGCTCCGCTGGACATTTTCCCTTTCAGGACATTTGTGCCTTTTTTGGCTTGCTCCCAGCACCCTGGCCCTAATTTCAGAAACTGGCTCCTGGCAAAGATAAAAAGGAGCTCCAATCAGCTTCGGGCCTGGCCCCTTTGAAGGAACTTTCTTAGACCCTAATAGACCCTACTGGTCGCAATGAGGCCCTATTCGCATTGAAAAGCCCCCATTCAAAACCCCTTGACAATGGGGGAACACCAGCCCCTTTTCTCGCTGGTGCAAGTTGGGCATGAGAATTCCAATGACCCTTATAATTCAACCCTCCAACCAGTGGTTTCCTGTAGGACCCCTGGCTTCCGTTTGGTTCCCACCATACCCCCCGCCCTCCCGCCTGGAATGAGAATTTGCAACGACCCCTAGAAAAAACAAACAAAAAACACATCCTCCAACCGTTGGTTTCCCCCAAAAAATAAACACATCCTCCAACCGGGGGCTTCCCCCCCATAAAAGAACACAAACACCTCCCACCAGAAATCTCCCTTCGGTTTTTTTTGGGGCCAATGGCGCCGAACCCGGGGCGTCCGTCGGGCTCCCATACCTGGGAGGTCATCCGCTCCACCGTGACGGCGGCGGTGATGAAGCTGGCCGCCCCAATGCGGGGCGCCACCTCCAGCGACGACGGCTCGGCGCCGGGACTTCACCCCGCCCCCCCAAAACCAAAAATGGAAAAACGCCACCAAGTATATGGGGTGCTTGATTTGGGGATGACCATCAAAACCTACACTTTTTTAGCAATCAAGAAACAAAAACGCATATGTGGAGTCTCCATGACCCAAAATAAAGATAGGTCCATGACCCCAATATTTAGGGTAATGCCCCCGTTCTGAAAGGGTCATGGAGACTCAAGGCACATCCGCAAACAACGGAAAACATGGGGGCAACCCTTCCCCCAAGCCCCCCAAAGAAGAGAAGAGAACACATCAGGAAAAAAAAACTAAGGGGGAGGGGGTGAGGACTGAACCCCCTCCCCCACAAAAACAAAGAAGGGGGGAAATCAATCACCCCGGCGGGTTAAGGCCTGGAAATTAAAATTAGGCAGCCAACAAAAAATCAAGCCTGACCAAGCTCCTGCAGAAATAAACATAACTGTTGACGTGTTTCCTGTGGGTTTCCCTAAGCAACCCCAAACATGGCGCCCTTCAAGAAAAATGGCCGTGGCTCCAAAAAACCGGTACCAAAATGGGTTACCATGGTAAGTGGAGACATGGACCAACACCTGCGGTTTGCCCCTCTGTTTACTTTTGAGTCACACCCATGTTGGCACCCTTTTTTTCTCGGTAGTCCACTAAAATCGAGGTTGGGGGAACCCCCCCAAAAAAGTTGGGTGAGAGCTCGGGCACCTCGCTGGACCTGGCCAAACCTGCGCGACCAAACCGCCGCGGGCGGCTCTTCGCGCGCCTCGGTGAGCCACAGCTTCGGTGGCAACGGGGCCGACATGGCGCCAGCTGAGCCGCCCGAAGCGAAGCCCTTCGACCCGAAGCCTAGGGTTCCATGGGTGGCGACATTTTTTCTTTTTTTAAACAAATTTTTTGGAGGGTGCCTCTTGTTATGGTGGTTTTTTACATAGGAAACCAAGAGGAACAACTTGTTTGCTGGTTTTCTTTCGGTTGAGGGCGGGAGGGGGTCGCCTAAACGCAGACACGGCTAATGTACTAACGCGTCTAATCTGGAAAACCAAAAGGTATAGGCGGCAAGTATGTGTGTGTGTGGGATGTGAGAAGTGGTATTCCAAGTGCTTGGAACACTTCTTGAATCGTAGCGTTGATTTCGAACACCTAAACATCACCTAAACACAACTGAGGGACATGCCAGAGATTCCTTCATGTCCGGCCGGTGCCTGACTTTTAACAACACCCCATCAGTCGTGTGAGCAAACAGAGAACGCCTGAACCCAACTCTACCTCAGAATTTGTTCATGCTTTAGGGCATTTCAAATATGAAATTTCATCAACAAATAGCCCACACCCCCGGATCCAGGAACCAAAGCACCCAACTACTGCTGATGGCGTTTTTGGGCGCTGCCCAATTGTTTGTTTCCCTTGATGAAACAAAAAGTGGTGACCGAACACGCTTCTCACCCTATACTGACCAAATGAATGCAAGTCGGCAACAAAACATTCCGTCGGTTGGGGTCAAGTAATTCGCGCCTGCTCCGGAAGTCAAGTCCTGACACCCTCGTGACACTCTTGAGCCATGAAAGCAAACGCACGCTGCCCACTTCCTGAGTGGCCGAAACGGTCATGTTGCTAACATGGGCCCCCAAGCTCCATTTGCTTGAGTTTCCGGAAAGACCCACCCAACAAACACAGTGATCGATGCCCTTCGCAACCAGGGGAACAAATCATCTTAAGCACATGGAATGACAAGTGTCTAAGGTCCAACTCTCGAAGTGAGTCTGACCCAAGAAGTCGTGATGCTGTTTCGCGCACCAGGCCTCTCTGCCTGAGACGTTCAGCACTGGCCTCAATCGGAGCAAACATGAGCTCCTGAAGTCTCATGCCAGCCACCGTCGAAAAAATGGCATCCCCATAGAAACAAATGGCGAGCCCCGCAATTTGGCGAGTCCCCAAGGTCTCTCTTGCCCCTTTCTCCCTCCTGGCCACCCCTCAAGCCCTGGACACAGCCGAGAGGAGGGGGACCAAAGTTGTGGCTGGGAGGTGGGGGCGACAAAGAGGTGCCCCAACTTTGCAAACCAAACGTGCATCCAAAACCCATAGGCTCTCGGTTCTACGAAAACGATCATGATCATTTATGAAGACGCTGGTGGAGTCGATGTCTGAAAAATCCCGGAACATGTTGCTGAATTACCAGGATTGGCTCCTTTTTTGATGGCGAATGAAATTATATTGGGGGTCTTCCTCCGATTAGTATGGTCCTCTGGATTGATCGGAAGTCCCAACATAGGTTGCTCCGCAACTCAGAAAACAAACTGTTCTGTTACCGTGGGGAGTATTTGTAGAGCAACATGCGGGATCTCTAGCTGTGTTGGTGTTTGGGGGCACGCGCGGTGGACGCCCTAAGCGTTACAAGAAGAGGAACAAGGGAACTCTATTTCATTTGCCAAGTCATGTGCCATAGGTTTTGGGGTGGAGGCTCTGTGGTTTACTTGCAAAATAATTTCGTCGGCATCCGTCCGGGTGCACGTCCTAAGCCATTTCCTGTGCCAGGACGCTCGTAGACATCGCAAAGTCCCGTCCTGGGCGTTAGCTCTCCAGTTGGGTTTGGCTTGAGATCAGGACCCTCCAAAGGGATGGTTTTCCTTTTGGCTTACCAAAATCTCAAGACACGCCCATTTTTTTGAAGGCAACCCATCGGGATGGAAATCCACCAGAGTTCGATCCCGAAATTGTGGCTTCCACTTGGGGTGGAAAAGGATTCGTGTTTGACTTGGCCGCAGCGCGCAGAGTTTTAGGATACAGTGCCCAGGCTCAGAATCTGCAAAACAGTTTACGTCTGCTTGAAGGGGGTGGGGTCCCCTGAAAAATCGTCCAGTCGAACTTCAGGCGGCCCCTCTCCCTCAATGGGATGTGGATGTCGAGTTTCTTTGGGTAGTCCATTTTCAGGTCAAGGCCAAAGACCTTTTGTATGAACCCGAACGTGGCCTATCAAGTCTATCAGTTAATTCCCGCTTCATGCCTATGGAAACCTGCTCCAAAAGGGTACACCGGGCATGGTTCATAGAATATAGGGGCCTAATTTAGATAGAATGGAGCCGGGCAGTTTAAAACCAAACTAAGCCATAATCACAAGCCCCAAATGTGTAGAATCATAATTTAGTTTCGTGCCTCTCACTTGAGTGGATTGGCCCAAAATCTGAACTGTTTGGTTCACTCAATCTTCCCAAGTATAAAGTTCAGGAAGTCGGGAAGTGAGCTACCGGACGGTGAACTGGTTTTGTAGATCTCGCATTAGGGCCTTCAAGGGCCTCGGGCATGTAAGCTTCCGTCTAACAAATCCGTCGATCAACTGGAGGGACTTGCCAAGTTCTGGCACACCGGGGGGACTCTGATTTCCCCTGTGCCCTGTATCAATGGTCTTCCCAAGTTGAAAGTCCAACTCAGGAAGTGAGAAAAACGGTACATTCCTTCCATTCGCTAAAGCCCCCGGGGAGAAAAAAAACATTTCTAGTAGTGACAGTTTTCCTGTAAATCCAATGAGGGAACATAGATAAACTTTCACTTCAGCAAATGGAAGTGAGTGAAGGTACCAATTTCTGACGCCCTCTCAGGATCGCCAGAGTCTGAGCCCGCCACGCGGGCAGCTTCCCTTTTGGAAAGCCTCGGCGATTAGCAGCTCCAAGCGGTCAAAGGGGTCCCCACAAAGGGAGTTGGTTGAGGTTTATCAGCTAGGTCCTCCAGATTTGAGAGCTTGGAATAAGGGTACCCACTTTTTTCAGGACGTCTATTTTAGTCCGGGGGTTTCCTCCCAACCAAAAAAGAGGGTGAGAAAGGGCACCTAGCTGGGGGACCTAGGGAGGCGATCCATTTGCTACTGAATGCAACCGGTGAGCGAGCAAATTCGGGGGTAATCTCCCGGATTGCAAGCTATTTGCGTCACTCTCTATTCAACAAAACATGCGCCACGGGAATTTAAGCACTTCGGTTTGGCCCTTATTACACCAAGAAGTTGGGGCATCTGATTCAGAGCACGGAAAACATTTCGGCGTGGTGCTGATTGAGTAGGGCGGTAGGGACCTTAGGTCCATATTTTCATGTCTCGGGCTCTTCGGCTGTCAATCAGGTGTTTGCCATGCGCACATGCAAAGACCCGGGCAATGACATCCAGAGATTCACTAGGGACTGCTGAAAAAGTGATGCCACAGGCTGGGACTGTTGGGACCCCGACGTATTTTGGTGGCAATGCGCAACACCTGCTCAAACGACCCGGGAAATGTGGGTCGTAGCCTCAAAAACACAGACGGCACAGGCAGACACACACACACACAACTTGGCACCCCTTTTGTGTGGAATATGTCCCATGCCAGGCTGGAGCATGGCAGCATGGAGTTGTCACACCGGTTATGTGTATGGGCCCTCTCAGGAAAGCACCGAGATGGCATGAAAATGACACAAAGCACTCCAACAAAACACGCGATATTTCAGTGTTTCAAGTTGGACATGGCCCCTTCATGAAGCATCCGAAATACCTAGAGGCTTGTTTGCAACCAATTGGAGGGTAGTATATTAAAATTGGATTTCTTGTATACTATCTCCTTTCATAGTCTCAGGGGTAATAGTTGTTCACCTTGGCCTGCCAGAACAGAAAAACAAAAGCAGTGCAAGGAAGGTGGTCCCTTGCAAAACTGTTCGCTTGCATGTTGGCAGACATGGAAATGAAGCAACAAGGGTTCACGATCTTTCCAACCAGGCATCGAGAAATAAGCCTTGAATGTTCAGAACCATGCAACCATTGTTACCGATCAACCTTTTGAGGCCCGCCCAAGTCCTTGCCGTTGCAGTGTTGACCAACATCGAGGAACATTCGATCAACTGTCTACCCTTGGGTCATACTGTGGATCGTTGCGAAATCCATTTCGCACCGTTCAGAAACCCAACGATCAATGATTCGTTTCCGACGTTCCCCCAACAAAAGTATCCAAAGCAATGGCTTCCACACGGCCATGGGTCAAAATCCAAATCGTACCCCCAGTGAACATCCCAATCCCCCCTAAAATCCCGACTAAAATGGGTGGTGAATTCACCTACCCCAAAATGGGATCCCATGGGTTTCGACCCACAGCCACATGGCGCGAACGCATTTTGCTCCACCGGGCTCGGAGCCCAGGAGAACACGAATCACGCAAACGTCGAGTGCCGGACTTGGAGCGGATCGCCCACGGCCGAAGCTCATCACCGCGCTTTCCAGGATCTCAGCTTTGGCGTCGGCACTTCGGCCCCCTTTTTAGCGTTTTTAGCAGGGTTTTCCTGTCGGTTTGGATGTGGTTTGTCTCACTTCCTGAGTGGATGGGCCAAAACAAGTCCAAACTTTTTGGTTGCCAGTAAGACTAGCATGGACTTCCCAAGAAGTTTTAAGTCCAGGATCTCAAGAAGTGAGTTCTGGGGTTTGAACCCCTGGTTCTTGAAGATGGTCAATGGAAAACCACAACCTCCAAACCACTCCAAATCTGCTACATGGTGGTTGGTCCACTTTCAATATTTCGCGCAGGGCGGGATTCGATCAGCTCATGCCAATGGAACCAAAGCTTCAATGCCTTCCTACAGGGCTGTGGGGAATGGAATCCACTTCTGTGATACAACAGAAAGGGCTTCCCAAAGACTATTTTGTGCATATAAAGGGGGATTCCAAAAAAATCACAGAAGTGGGGAGAAACCCCGAGTGATCCCACAACCCTGCTTTCCTACATTTCTTTTTTCGCCCCCTTTGCATACGCACATCTCCCCCACAAAATCCATCAAACCATGTGAGATGTACACTTGCAAGGGGTCTACAGAATCTTCTCGCGAGAGGCAATGTTGAGTCACTGGACTGGACCCAGTAATTTATCTGCCTGGCCACAGTCTGCGCGCTGGGCGTTCTGTGTTTTGGTGTTCACTTCCTCACACCCTTCCTTGCAATATGTTGGGCATACATATTTGCAGTGGACGCTTGCAATCCATCCTGTAACCCACCTTCTGCATCCCTCCGGAAGTGGAAGCTTTGTCAGTCACCAAGCTGAAGACACGTGGCACGAAGTTCAGTTTGCACGTTGACAGGGGGTGATAGTTAAGGTGTGACCCTTCGGTGGACAGATTCCGGTGATTCATGTCCACCGCCCGCTGGTGAGGTGTGTCAAACTCATAGAAAAATCATGGACAAACAAGTTTAGGGTTCAGTGCTGCAAAATAGCCAAGTACGTGACTTGTCTGTTGCCCAATGGCAACTCCTTTCCTTTATTTCCTCTTGCAGTAGATGCAGAATGCCGGTTCACAAAATCCCGCCACAAAACCAGCCCTATGTAGGTAGTCTCGGTGCACATTGATTCAAAGGACCAAGTCAAACCTTTTGAGGACAAAATGCTATTTGACCACCGGAAAACTTACAGGTCAAACGATTGAGTAGCTTTGGGCTGAGCAGTGCACCTCGGCAGCTTATGTCGTACCCATCTTAAGGGTACTTCTTTCATGATGTCCCCTAAGGGGCGGATAGATGAAGCTCCCCCAAGCTCGGCCCTTTTGAGACACGAAACGCTCGTGCTCCACAATAGGCCGAGTAGAAGTGCTCCTGCAGCTTCAGAATTTCAAGGAAAATTTCAGGCAGGTCAAGCATGCGCCAACAGGCATCGCCCGCCTACCCGCCTGCTTTTCGCGAAAGGACGGGAAAGAGCGCCACAGAAATGACTTTGGGCGAGCATGCTGAGACTGCCCAAGGCCCCTTCAACTTGGGGTACAGAAACCCGAATGAGCTGACCCTGCCAAAAAAACGGGATGACCCTGGTAGAAAAAATGGCAACCTTTCTATGTTGGGGCGTCAACAAACTTCATTTTGAGTGATTTCCCCAAGCGTCAGGTTTGGGATTTAAGGAGGGTCGGTGAGTTTCAACTACGGCTGTCGCCTGAGCGCTCTGGCAAACCCGAAGTCGGGGTCGGCCAACTCGGTCCTGGGTGCTTAATTGCGGCGCTCGCAAAATCTCAGAACACCACCAGCAAGCCAAGAAAAAACAAAAACGTGCATGTAGGCCACCCTGATGCATTCAATATCGTGGCGGCAATTGCATCTATCTTGCAATTCTAGGTCCTCCAGTAGAGAGGTTAAATAGGGGTACCTGTTTTTCTGTAGTCTAGTAGAAAAATCCCTCCCCCCGAAAAGAAAAACGGTAAAAGTTGGCACCTAGCTGGGGGACCTAGACTTTGTTTCAGGGGGCGGACGCGACCTAGAATTTGTTTCAGGGTCGGGGTATCGGAAGCAAGCCATGCCCAAACATGCCATGGGGTACTTCTTGCCCTTCGCCGCTGGCCGCAAATACCTGGCGCGAACGAGCGCCGGAAACCTGGGACCAGGCCTTAAGTACAACCGGCTGCTCAACCGGGGGGCCGGGGGAGGGGTAGGCCGGGACACCTGTTTTCTTGGCCCACAAAGCAAGAGGTAACATGGCAAGCAGGGTTTTGAGGTCTAAAAACAGGGTCAGTTCCGCCTGTACCAACCCTCAAAACGAAACTTCTGGCGAACGCAGTTCCGAACGCAACCTTCCAGCTGCGGCTTTTGTCTCTAAGCAGTCTCCGATTCTGGCCGTGCACCTTACTTGCCAAGACACACAATTTCAATGTGGCAGCCACATGGGAACAACAAGGTTCAGCAATTTAAAGGAACACCCACCATGTCTGTTGATGGACAAAACCCTGCACTTGGGATGGATGAAACCCAATCTGACTACTGCGAATTGGTTTAACACAAGGCAACCCCAAAGGCCAGCTACAAGATCTCGCAGCCATGCTCTGGTTACATGTTCAAATCGTGTTTAAGCAACCTCCTTTTGGTTCTGGGGGTCAGGGTTTGGTTGTTGCATATGTGTTTGTCCAACTCGGTGGCCCACCTTGGGTGATGCTTTTGAAGATACCTAGAGTCTCCATGGCTTAAAAAATGGGGTCCTTACCCTAAATGATGGGGTCATGGACCTTTTTGAAAGGTAGGGCGACTTAAAAAAAAACAAAAAAAAAAACCTGGAGTCTCCATGACCCATAACAAATGGGGCCATTACCTAAATTAATGGGGTCATGGACCTATTTTTATTTCGGGTCATGGAGACTCCAGGTACGGCGACTTAAAAACAAGAAGAGGAACTCGGGACCGAGTTCAACAAAAATGATGTTCGAAGCTTCGGGCCAGCGGGAGAGCTTCTTGCAAGGCGCTCCAGTTGCAAGCGCGCCAAGAGGTGTAGCGACTGTGAAGGCTGTGAGGCTTTTTCGCAGGCCCTCAGTGACATGTCCACCGCCACGTCGTTCCTTGGCCGGAAACGGCCTCCCCGTTTCGAAAACCGCAAGAAAGCCCAAGGCTGGCCAACACAGGTTCAAAGAACGTAAAACTAGGGCCCCCTAAAATGCTTGGAAACCATTTCCTTCTGTTTCACTGCTACCAAACATGGGCACCATTTTGAGAAAAATGCAAAATGGTAAGCCTGTCTTGCAATGGTTCAAAACGCCGCAGTGCGACAGTAGAAACAGCGCTTGCGCCCAGCGGGCGCCGAATGCGCAGGCACTGATGGCTGCAGCATAACCTGACTTGTTTGGAAGCAACGAGAAAAGGAAGCGGAACTGGGAGGATATCAAAAATGCGGGGTGCAAATGGTGTACACAGTCGGGTATGCAAGTGGGGGTTCAAATGAGAAACATAAATCACATCCACAAAAGTCCGCAACCAGGATCGCGAATGTTGAAAAACGATTCTCCCCACGGATACCCTGTAGATTGCAAGGTCAAGGAACCAGGAAACCCCGTTTTTCCCCCCCCCCCCCTTTCTTTCCGCGATTTACAGGGGAGTTGTGGTTGGGCATCATGGCGCAGCTGAGTCACAATCAAAACCTGGTACAAACATGGTGAACCCAGAGCCACGTAAAGAATTAGAAAGGCGGCCGCAACTATTTCCGGCTGGGACTGCCCCTTACTAACCTTCATCTACCCGGGTTTTGATTGTGGCTCAGCTGGATGTTTTGACCATGGCACAGATCACATCCACGCGGATGTGATGCCAAAGCTCTGCCAGCAGGGCCAAGGCCATCGGCCAGATCTTGACGCAGGCGCTCACCACGGCGCTGCAGGTCACGGTGTCTTCTCCTTAACTTCGTCCGTTTGGAGCGGGAGTCAGTGAGGGGGGGGCAGCTGGAGGTTGGGCTTTGGGGTGTTTGTTTGGGTCTGTCTTTGTTTTGAGTTGGTACCCCTTGGTAGGTTTAAAGGAAAACCAATTGGGAAACTCAAAACCGCCGCGGGGACGTCCATAAAAGACGAACCACCCATTTGGTGTCCACGGTCATCTATCTGTCCCGGGCAACTCGTCTTTGGGTAGGGATCTGGGAGTGTCTTGCTGGAGACATACTCCAGGTGAATCTGCAGTTTCCCACATTTGGTCGCCAAAAAGACTGGACTCAAACCACTACGTGTGTCACACAAATTTGGGACCTCTTTGGGGATGGTTCAAAAGGGAACCCAAGGGAAGCCCACCTGGAGTCCCCAATTTGGAGAAACACGTATCCTAGAGGTCAGCCAGGGGTTTATGTCTTTGATCCGTTTAGGCGCGCCAAGCTCTTGACTGGTACCTCTCACCTCTCAACTCCCATATTCGCCCTGGAAAAAGCGAGAGAACACAAATTTTCGGAAAGCTTAAAGTGGTAGGTTCCCCTTGAAACCAACAGGGGAATATAACATGTATAGCATGGGTGGGCTATTGGAAAAATAGATGGGTTTTTCTTGTGAATGGTTTATAAAACCAAACCGATCAACATGACGCCTATGTTGCAGCACTCATACAAGCTCATAGGATGGTGTTGGACGCCTACTTTCCTTTTGGGGAAGCCACATATCTACCTCAATGTTGGAAAAAATGTGGATTCCCTTTGAAACCAGGGAACCTCTGTCCAATCCAACCCACCAGAAGGCAGCTAAGTGAAGCCAACAAAAGATACTAGATTGGTCGCTGTTGACCCTCTGCAAAAAGCTCAACTTTTTTGTGGGTTCAATACAGAGAGCACCTTGATTTAAAATGTCCAAAGATCCAAGCCCAACAGCAATCAAGTAAGCATTTGAAAAGGTAGATGGCCCTGGTAAATGTTTTATGAAGCCAATGTTCCAAAACTTGCTGGTGCTGAGCAGGGAATGAGAAATGGAATGCCCACAACAAACCATCCACTAGTGGTTTCCTTGGAGGGAAGCCCTGGGTTAAGACAGTGGATCCGAGTCGCTGGTTCCAAAAAAGGCTTAAGCAATGAATGCTTTATAAATCTACAAAGCCAATCTAAACCAGCGGAACCAATGAATGGTTTATATACATACATATATATATATATATTTATGATTGTTTTTCTAAAACGACAAACAAAACAAAACATAGTCTAAAGCAGCGGAACTCCGTCGAGCCGAGCCGCTGAGCCTTCGAGTTCGCAGCTCCCGCAGCAAGCCGAGGGCTTGTCGCCACTCGCTCGCCTTCTCACAGGCGGTGATCGCGGCGTTGAAGGCCACCAGGTCCTCGAGAGCGACGAGGCGAGACACGAAGCGAGCGAGGGGCCGGCCGGTGGCTGGGGTCAACCGGTGGCGAGTGGCGAGTCAGCCTGGCCTTTGGGCGAAATGGCGGTGGCTCCAAAAAGCCGGAAATGCAAAAATGGCCCGGAGAAAGCAACAGCTTAGCAGTCTCAGGCTGTTTCGGCATGGGGTTGCACAGTTCAGGGGTCATTATTTTGACCGGGGTCAGAAAATGGAATCGCCCTTTAACCCATCACTTGGGTGACTTTGATCATGGTAAAATACTGAGGCCGGGGTTGGGGGTGTGCGTGTGTCTGTGTGTGTGTGTGTTTATTTTAGGGAACACCCCTTTTGCTTGGGATTGAAAGGGGAAAAGGACACAACTTGTAGGGGGAGTGCCGAAGTACCCTTTTTTTGGAAACTTGCTTTTGGGTGAAAACGCGTTTTTGGGAGTACACCATTGGTTCGGGTTCTCCAAATGGAGGAGGTCTCCAAAGGGATCCAATGTCAAAGGTGGGCAAATCCTGCACCAGGATCGTTTCAACAGCTAGTCAAAACCTGGTAATTGAATCCGGAGCCAGGTTCCTTTCAACACCTACACGTTACCCAAAAGCTACTGTCTATCCAAGTCAGGGCTGTGGGAAATGACCACTTCTGTGATACAACAAAAAGGGCCTCCCAAAGACTAGCCCCCCATACAAAGAGAGGATTCCCTTGTATCACAGAAGTGGGGATAAACCCCGAGTGATCCCACAACCCTGATCCAAGTTGTAAGACTTTTTCGGGCGGCAACTCTTGGTTTGGAATTTCAGGAGGAGCCCCTTCACAAGGCAGTCTGAAAACGACGGGGCTGCAGTGCAAAAGAAAGGATCATCTCACCTGGCAATTTCAACCAAAGGATGGGGTGGTATCAACGGAAAATCAAAGGGAACCTGCAGAGACAAACATGCTACCTCCCTTGCAAAGGACCTGGAAGAGGTGGAAAAGGGCGGTTTTTGTGCATCTTGAAATAGATTGACAAGGTGCTCGGTCAGTGTGGTTGGCCTTTGAGATCGGGCAGCAAACGCAGTAAAATCAGTCAGCAAACACTTGAAGATAATCATCCTGCCCCAAATGGGGCTCCGTCGTCCCATGGAGGCTTTGTTTCTTCAATGAGAGAACCAACATGAAACAACCAAAACCAGTCGGTGTTGCCTTGCTGTGACTTTGGTAATATTGTTTGTTGCCCAAATTAATTGTTACGCATATTTCCCAAGACATACAAATGTCAAGCTTGCGCTATCCCTACGAAGACGAACCCAAAAGACTACCCAAACTGCGGTGGGTTTTGTGTGCGTTTGACCCGTGACTCGCTGCCGAAGTGCCAGCTGCACGTGTTGTCGCCGCTCGTGGAAGATTGCCAAGGCCTGCCGCAGGACATCCGACTAGATCACTTTAGGGGTGCCTTTGGCACAGAACTTGGATCCTAAAACTCACGTTTTCAACAGAACCTCTACAGTTTTTTGGGTCACCAAAAAAGCCATTCTACAACTGTACCGTGGAAACAATCTACTTGGCGCCAGTTTGTAGGTGGCTTATCCCAGTATTCATAGGGCGTCATCCATCTGAACTGGTACTGTGTGGAACAACTATTGTTAAAACATGGGCACTTCGAACGAACGAATCCGGGTCCCTGAGCACGTGGGCCTCCTTTGGGAGTTTGGAGGTGGTCACTAAGCAAAAACACGGCCACCTCCTCAAATATATTGGATGAATGAAATCCGTTCGCACCACTTTGAAATTATGGTTTGCTGGTATTTATTACGTTGGGGAATCGCATCATTCCGTTGGTTCGTTGGTGCAAAAGGGATTTCGCAACCATCCACCATAGGTTTGTGTTTAGGGTGCCCCTGAAATGCAGCTTCCCTAGGTGGTTTGGAGTAGCTTGAAGGTATGGAGGTTAGCAACCACCCACAACAGGGGACCCCTAAACTTGGTCAACATTCAAACCTACTAAACCTAGGATTTGTATCTTTTCTTTGCATCATTTAGTCAAGGGCAAAGATGTAAGATGGTCCCAAACGCTGACCCAGTAAATGCCAGGTTTAACCGCGCCTGCAGCCACTTCCCCGCTTTCGCGCAGGCGCTGACCGCATTTCCGCACGCCACACAGTCCACGTCAGCACGGGCGATTTTGGCGAGGAGGGCCACGGCGTGGCGCCATCTGACAAACGGGAAGACGGGGGGAGTGGGCATGGACACACACTCATATATATATATACATATGTATACATATATATATATATAATATATATGTATATTAGTATGCCCCTCTTAAATTGGTGCTCCCCTCCTCTTACTTTAAGACCTTTCAAAAGGACTGACCTTTCAAAAGGACTGCCCTCCAAGTCGGGCTCCAATCTCACTCACTTAAGAGATTAAATGGTTTGTGGGCTGTGCCCTGCAAGGCCAAATCAAACCCGGGCTTGAGCCAGTCAATTAAGCAGAGTGGTGCAACATGATGTAGAAGAGGCCTCTCAGGCTCGGGCCCGTACCCCCACCTCAAACCTCAACTGAAAGCCTCTTAGAACTCTCAAACCTGAACCCTACCCATCCCTCAAATCCTGAGAGCCGGGGCGCGGGGGTACGCTAACTTTCGATGGGGTTCCCAAGGCTCGAAAACGAGACTTCTCCCAACCAGACTTGTCTCTAGGCTTCGGGCGAAAGAACTATGCGGAATTCCAAATCGGTTTAACCCAAAACCGGTGGGTTCCCATATAAGGGAAACCCGAATCAAATCAATGGGGATAAACCGTTGCCGAAGAGCAACTAGTGACTCCCGATGGAAATGAAATAATATCAACAAAAGCATGTGGGCGTGTCTTTGTTTTGGTTCAAAGGGAACAAAGGGAAGCAAACATAACACCACCATGTGTTGTGGGTTCCCCCATTTTACGGCATCCCCATTTCAAAACAACACCTTTTGCATCGGAGAAACACCTCAGATGCCCAGTGGCCATGGGAAAAGAGGACATCTTTGTTTGGTTGCTTGAGTTTAAAGTGGAACCCTTCCATTCAAAAAAAGGCATAAAAGAAGGGGGCGGAAGCCACCGGGCAACTGTGAAACAAAAACAAAAACTAAAAGACGCCAAGCGGAATCCACTGGGCAATTGGGGAAAAAAACAACCAAAAGACCCAAAGACACGCTTCGCCGGAAGCCGAGGCGCTGCCCGCGCTTCTCGCAGGAGCTCATGGCAGCGCTGCAGCCCACCGCGCCTCCGCCGCTTCCGCCGCTTGCGAGGCGCAGACTGCGGCGCCACTCCGCGGATTTGGCGCAGGCGGCGGTGGCGGCGGAGACGGAGACTGCGTTGGGCTGGGCGGCGGCGGTCTCCAGCGCCTGGGATGTGGACCGAAAGCCGCTCGTTATGGTTAAGGCGAGTTGGCTGTGGGTGGGGTGGGTGGGGTGGGTGGGGTGGGTGGGGTGGGTGGGGTGGGTGGGGTGGGTGGGGTGGGGTGGGTGGGGTGGGTGGGGTGGGTGGGGTGGGTGGGGTGGGTGGGGTGGGTGGGGTGGGTGGGGTGGGTGGGTGGGGTGGGTTGGGTGGGTGGGGTGGGGTGTGGTTTTCTGGTGGAACGTGTGGGCTTGAGAAACATGTGTAGAAAACCATCTGAAGCTGGTTTTACCGATGGGCGGATGTTGGCAAGCGAAGGAAACCAGATAACGGAAATCCGACAGGACATTCTGCAATGCTTCTGATGGGTGTTTGGCTACGTGTCTGTGATGTTGAAGGGGGAAGAGGAAATTGGGCTTTCTTCGTTTGTGGGAAAAGATCATGGAGCATCCCCTTTTCGTGTCAGCTGGCAAGCAGGGCAAACAAAGACACACGGCTTGCCGCGAGACCGGCTTTTTGGGGACTATCAAGGCACTTCCGGGCGAGGAACCCGCGCGTAGGGGCCGTGGATTTCCCAAACAGTCACGAAAGGCAAAACCAGTGGAGGACTCTGCATTTCGTCCCGTCCTTGCGTAAGCGGGGAAATGGTGAGAACTCGGGAAACCCAAAGTTGAATTTGAGGGAACACAGGCTTCTTTCCAAGATCGGAGCTTCGAGGCCCGATGAACCCGAAGCAAGATCTTCTCCAAATGTCCCACCCCTTGTGCTGTTATCATTGAATAAGAGCTCGAAGAAACCAACGGAAAACCAGCGGAACTTTCTGTATTCGCGTCCGTCTTTTTGCGGGCATACTGTTTGGGGTTGCTTTGAAGGCCAGCCAACGGGACAACCACCACTTTGGGCCAGGTCCTCCAGTAGAGGTTAGAATAAGGGTACCCTTTTTTCGGTTTTGTCTATTTTTAGTAGGGGGGGGTTCCTCCCAACCAAAATCAGAAACTAGGTCCTCCAGTACAGTAGAGAGGTTAGAATAAGGGTACCAACTTTTTGCCGTAGTCTATTTTGAGGGGAACCCTCTCAACCAAAAAAAGAGGTTAACAAGGGCACCACTGGGGGACCTAGTGGGGGGTCCTCCATTTTAAAGCACGCCCATCCTTCAGCGGGGTACGGAGAGCAAGACCAAGGCATGGTGCCATCCAACGGAGCTGATCGCAGCATTGTAGGTCACCCGGCTGGGCTGCAATTTGGCGCTCACACTCTGGAACAGCCTTGGCAAGCTTGGCAGGGTGCGCTGTTTCGACCCTGGGGTCGAAATCTGCCTGGAAAACTAGGTCCTCCAGTAGAGAGGACAGAATAAGGGTACCAACTTTTTGCTGTAGTCTATTTTAGTAGGAGAAAACCCTCCCAACCAAAAAAGAAACGGTAAAATGACACCTAGCTGGGGGACCTAGGAAAGGAAAACCAAAGGGCGCAACATCGATGGTCTGCCCTTCTGGTGAACGGCTTTGAGTTTGAGGTTCGGAGAAACTCTGTTTGTCTACTAGATATGGGTATGATTTATACTGAAAACCTCTTCAAGGACGGCTTAAGACGCTGGACATGGATCCAACTGAAAAAGTGCCTCAATTTCCCTTGGGCCTCCCTGCAAAGCAAACTCAAACACACCCTCGGCTTTGAGCCGTATCTCTGAAGATCATCTTCCCTCAAATCGGTGATTTGGATTGGTGGTGTTACGAGGCTGCCCATGAATCTACAAGAAGCAGCGCTTCAAACCACCAATGGAGGCTTGCCTGAGTATCTCCAAAGAACGGTACCCTCAAGCAATAAATTTCCAGCAAGGCGCTCTTCAGCCCTGCGCCAAACGTAGGAAGATGCGGTAGCGGTAATGGCCTGACGGAAATGTTTCCGAAGGATTCCGTCATCTCCATAGCACGGACAATGGATGTGTCTGTGTGTGTGTGGGTGGGTGGGTGTTGTGGGTGTGACTGCGTGTGTGCTGTGTGCGTGTGTGTGCGTGTGTCGCGTGCGTGGGCATGGGTGCGGGTGGGTGCGGGTGAGTGTGGGTGTGGGTGTGGGCGTGGGGGTGGGTGTGGGGGGGTGTGGGGGTGGGTGTGGGTGTGGGTGTGGGTGTGGGTGTGGGTATGGGTGTGGGTGTGGGTGTGGGTGTGGGTGTGGGTGTGGGTGTGGGTATGGGTGTGGGTGTGGGTGTGGGTGTGGGTGTGGGTGTGTGTGTGTGTGGTGTGGGTGTGGGTGTGGGTATGGGTGTGGGTGTGGGTGTGGGTGTGGGTGTGGTGTGTGTGTGTGTGGTGTGGGTGTGGGTGTGGGTATGGGTGTGGGTGTGGGTGTGGGTGTGGGTGTGTGTGTGTGTGTGTGGTGGGTGTGGTGTGATGGGTGTGGTGTGTGGTGTGTGGGTGTGGGTGTGGGTGTGGTGTGTGGGTTTGGGTGTGGGTGTGGGTGTGGGTGTGTGTGTGGGTGTGGGTGTGGGTGTGGGTGTGTGTGGTGTGTGGTGTGGGTGTGGGTGTGGGTGTGGGTATGGGTGTGGGTGTGGGTGTGGGTGTGGGTGTGGGTGTGGGTGTGGGTGTGGGTGGTGGGTGTGGGTGTAGGTGTGGGTGTGGGTGTGTGTGTGTGTGTGGTGTGGGTGTGGGTGTGGGTATGGGTGTGGGTGTGGGTGTGGGTGTGGGTGTGGGTGTGGGTGTGGGTGTGGGTGTGGGTGTGTGTGTGTGTGGTGTGGGTGTGGGTGTGGGTATGGGTGTGGGTGTGGGTGTGGGTGTGGGTGTGGGTGTGTGTGTGGGTGTGTGGTGTGGGTGTGGGTGTGGGTGTGGGTATGGGTGTGGGTGTGGGTGTGGGTACGGGTGTGGGTGTGGGTGTGGGTGTGGGTGTGGGTGTGGTGTGGGTGTTGGTGTTGGTGTGGGTGCTGGTAATTGTTTGTTCGTGTGTGGGGTTTCAAGCCACAGGCACATACAACACACACAGACACACTCACACCTCCAGGATCGGCGCAAAGGAAGCCCAAGGGAAGGCTGTTTGGAGCTTACGAAGCCCACAGGAAGGTCTGCTTATTCCGTTCCAATTACCCAGACCTCAGGGTTGTGGGAATTCCCCGGCTCTGTTGTACCAATGGCAGGCCTGCCAGATGAGCAATTTGGTCTTGAAGGGGGAGCTTCCCTGGCATCACAGAGATGGGAACCCACCAAATATTCCCACAACTCTGATTCTAAAGGGAACCAGTCCAAAAAACGGGGAGACAAAAGAAACGGCGCCCCTGACGAGCAACCCTTATTCTGAAAAAAAACACCATAGGTCCTCCAGTAGAGAGCTTAGAATATAAGGGTACCAACTTTTTGCTGTCGTCTATTTGAGGGGACCCCTCCCAACCAAAAAAGAAACGGTAAAATGGGACCTAGCTGGGGGACCTAGCCCAGCCAAGAAAAGGGGTGAACACGGGCACTTAGCTGGACCGAGACCGCTGCGAGTTTCTTCCGCCGAGTCCGCCGAGTGCCGAGTCCCAGGTGCCGCGTTGAAGCCGACCACGTCGCGCTCTAAGCCGCCGCAGGCCATGGCGCGCAGCAGCGCCATGGCCCGGAACCACGGCTCCGAGGCCGAGTCCGCGGAGTCGGCGGCGATCACCGTGTTCCAAAGGATCGTGTCCTGAGCTCGGTACCAATTTGAACTGCTCAAACCCAGAGGGGGGTTTTTGGGTAGTTCATGAGGATGGCTTTTGGGGGTAAAAAGGGGTCATTCAGTACCTCCTTAGAAGGTACTTGGACCCTCTGGGAAAGAAAACCCAGGGAAAGTCCACTCACGTGTTTTGTGGTTCCCCAGCTGAAATCTATGGGGTGTCTGCCTTTGATAGGTAATTGGGGGGGGGGGGGGTTGGAGCAGCTTTCAGGAAGGGTTCCGAAGGGTTGTTGGGGATGCCACCTGCATGGGCTTATTCTCTGATACAGTGGATGGGCGAAATCCACGCCGATCGGCAGTTGGATCGATGAAACCCGAATGATACTGGCCACCGACATTCAGCTGTTGGAGTTTGTCCATGTGGCAATCAGTGTGGCACATACAAAATTTTGACCCGTGGTTTCTCAGGCAATGGTGTGGAGTAACGGTTGGCTAAGACCTGACCGCGCCACCAAACTTGCCGCCTCGCGAGGAAGCCGCAAACGGTCTTGTCCCAGCTACCCTTCCGGTGGGTTCGCTTGAAACAGGTACCCCAGGCACACACCCTCGATGGCAAGACCCTGCCTGGTAGAAAAGAAGCGAAGTCTATTTGGGGTGTTTTTGAGTGGGGAGCCCGCCCAACTTTTGTGTAAGGTGATTCCGCAAACTCCCTGGACGAGTGGGGGCATCGAGCGATAAATTTGGTGTCGCGAGAATAATAAGGACTCGCATGGGTGCATAGCAATTCACCAAGCTATACCCAGGGCTCCGAGATGGCCCGATTTGCCCGTATGGATGCTGGGGAGGGGTTGCTAGCCAGTAGAGTTCGAGAGAGCTCCCGAAATATATCCGGGTGACTTTTTTGCATTCTCTCGGCGAGAGACACAGCTCCAAAGGCTCGCCCAAATCTGGAATCGGCCCCCCTGAATGGTTGGTGTCCTTTTGGTTTCCCTTTTAATACCAGCCCTGAAGACGGTGCATTTTGAGAAGAACTCATATGACTCAGGCATGTATTTTCTGTGTGAGAAGGCAGACGGGCAGTGGGTTCACACCATCTTCCCCTTCAGCCGAACCTGCCCTGGGTTGCCAAGGTAGGATTTACGAAAAAAGAGACTTGGTTGTTTTTTGCTCCCCTGCTAAAAGTTTAACTTTTAGTGGTTTAATGGAAAACCAGTAGTTTGCAAAAAGTTAAAGTCCTAACACCAAAGGATAAGTTCCAGGCCTGCTTGACCTCCCGAACATTAGCATGGAACTCCTCCCGTCAATTTAGGCGGCGCCAGAGTCCGAACAATTGGGCCACCACCAGCATAGGTGACCTTTTGGAAAAAAAAAAAACATATGGGCGTCCCTGGTAAATGGTGTTTATAAGACGCATCTAAACCAGCTCAAAACCCATCTACTATGAACCAAACTCACCGGTCAAAAGGACAGGTATAGAACCACCGCTACTTGAAGGTCGGGCAAATATTTTTCGACCCCCTCGCCAGGGGCCTGGGTTGATACTCTCACCTGAAAAAACCTGGGTTGATGCTTCTATATTTAAAACAACATACATTGATATAATACATATTTATGTATTTATGTATATATATATATATTTACTTATTTATTTAGTTGTTATCATGTTTTTATTTTTTTCTTAAACAACAAAGCAGACAGAACAACAAAAAGACAACAAGCGGGGCGCTTGGCGTCCGAGTCGCCGGTCTGAGGCGACTGGACCTGGCCGCATGGAGCAGTCCCAGCGCCCGGCGCCACGAAGACGAGGCGTTGCCCGCGGCCAAGCCGCTCGCGGCGGCGGAGACGGTGATCACATCGCAGAGGGCCAGGTCCTGAGGGTTAGACGGGTTCTTAGCAGGGTGTTTAGCGGGTTTGGTAAGAGGGTCATCTTATTGGAGATGGTCTCTTAGAGGCCGCATGGCGCCCTAGGTGCCTGTTGGAAAATCGAAAGGCTGTGCTTGTGAGTGCCCAACTGATCTTCTTTTTGCAGGTCTCTAGGGCGCAAAGCGCCCTAGGTGCCTGTTGGAAAATCGAAGGGCTGTGCTTGTGAGTGCCCAACTGATCTTCTTTTTGCAGGTCTCTAGGGCGCACAGCGCCCTAGGTGCCTGTTGGAAAATCGAAAGGCTGTGCTTTGTGAGTGCCCAACTGATCTTCTTTTTGCAGGTCTCTAGGGCGCACAGCGCCCTAGGTGCCTGTTGGAAAATCGAAAGGCTGTGCTTGTGAATGCCCAACTGATCTTCTTTTTACAGGTCTCTAGGGCGCATAGCGCCCTAGGTGCCTGATGGAAAATCGAAAGGCTGTGCTTGTGAATGCCCAACTGATCTTCTTTTTGCAGGTCTCTAGGGCGCAAAGCGCCCTAGGTGCCTGTTGGAAAATCGAAGGGCTGTGCTTGTGAGTGCCCAACTGATCTTCTTTTTGCAGGTCTCTAGGGCGCACAGCGCCCTAGGTGCCTGTTGGAAAATCGAAAGGCTGTGCTTGTGAATGCCCAACTGATCTTCTTTTTGCAGGTCTCTAGGGCGCAAGCGCCCTAGGTGCCTGTTGGAAAATCGAAAGGCTGTGCTTGTGAGTGCCCAACTGATCTTCTTTTTGCAGGTCTCTAGGGCGCACAGCGCCCTAGGTGCCTGTTGGAAAATCGAAAGGCTGTGCTTGTGAATGCCCAACTGATCTTCTTTTTGCAGGTCTCTAGGGCGCACAGCGCCCTAGGTGCCTGTTGGAAAATCGAAAGGCTGTGCTTGTGAATGCCCAACTGATCTTCTTTTTACAGGTCTCTAGGGCGCATAGCGCCCTAGGTGCCTGTTGGAAAATCGAAAGGCTGTGCTTGTGAATGCCCAACTGATCTTGTTGTTGCAGGTCTCTAGGGCGCATAGCGCCTCAGGTGCCTGTTGGAAAATCGAAAGGCTGTGCTTGTGAATGCCCAACTGATCTTCTTTTTGCAGGTCTCAAATGAGTTCTTAGGAGGGTGTTTAGCGGGTTTTGTAGACTTCTTTTTGCAGGTCTTAGACAGGCTCTTAGGAGGGTGCTTAGGAGGGTTTTGTACAGTGTCGGAGGACTTTTCAGGGGTTTTAGATGGTGTTTTAGACTGGCTGCGGGTCAAATTCCAAATCGTACCCCCAGTGAACATCCCAATCCAACCACTAAAATAGGTTCTGAAATGGGTGGTTCACCTACCCCAAAATGGTACCATTGGTGTTGACCCACGGCCATCTGCAGGTCAGATGCCCAGTGGCCATGGTAAAAAAAGCATCCGTTTTTGGTCGGTTGAGTTTAAAGGGGAACCCTTTCCAAAAAAAGAGCGCCACTGGGCAAGTGGGTCTTAGACGGGTTCTTCGAGGGGAGTGCAGCGGGTTTGGAAAGAGGGTCATCTTAGAGGTGCCGCGGATTGGAGATTTGTACCCCCCACCAAAAAAACAGGGCAAGTGGGATCTTCTTCTTTGCAGGTAGACGGGTCTTAGCCGGGCCCGATCCCCGCAAAAAGTGACTAAGTGCTAGTGGAGTAAATGGAAACTACCTAAACACGAAAAAGCTAAAAAAGCGAAGGAACCGGATGGCTGGGAGGCAACAAATGTTAGGAGGGTTCTTAGGAGGGTTCTTAGGCAAAGGGTTATCAGAGGATTTTTCGGGTTTTTTAGAGGGTGTTTGGAGAGCGGTTTTAGATGGAGTTTAGAGGGTTGTTTTAGAGTGTTTGTGGAGGGTTGTTTGAGCCGAGGATTTTTAGAGGGTCATCTTGGAGGTACCGCAAATTGGAGATTTGTACCCCCCCCCCCCCCCAATTTTAAAGAGGGTAAGTGGGGAAGCACCTAACCTCCACACCGCCAATCCAATGCATTAATTGGAGGGAAGCTGAGCCGACTCAAAAAAGTCGGATGGGACACAATGCCTTCAAAGACCTGGTTGAATTAGGTTGTTGGTGGAAAGACACTGGTTTACCCCACGGAGGGCGTTCTTTGAATTGGGATAGCTTCCGAACCCCTACCATATGAGGAATCCCTAAGCGCTGCCTTCTCACAAACGCCCAACCGCCCCTTTCTGTCAATACAAATCCGAGGTGGGCCAAAAACAGGGCGGGAACCCTCCCAACCAAAAAAGGTAAAAGGGCACTACTGGGGTAGAAGAGTATTGGGCTGCAATGGCTATTGGAGCAGGGCTGTGGGAAACGACCACTTCTGTGATACAACAAAAAGGGCTTCTCAAAGACAAACCTGCCACATAAAGAGGATAATCCCTTGTATCACAAAGTGGGGAAAAACCCTGAGTGATCCCACAACCCTGTATTGGAGCGTTTCTCCTTAGGGCACCCGCTTTGGATTACAAAGGAAGACCACAGGACACCACCCATTTTGCAGGCTTCCGAGTCCTATTTGGGCGTCTTAAGATGAGGGACCCCAAAAACGCTCGGTTTGCTGTTGGTTTCCCTCAAAAGACGAACCACCCATTTCATGCGACACACATTGTGGATGGACGAAATCGGTTTCCACCACCAAATGGAACGTGGCAGTTGGTATTTCAGGGGAATCAAATCATTCCCTTTGGTTCTGAACGGTGGTGGGAAATGGATCTGGAAACCCTATCATTTGCGTATTCCGCCTGAAAAGCAAACATATTTCCGGTAGTGATGGATTCCTCTTAAACAAACAACGGGCAATACACATGGAAGCTGTAAATACTGGGTGAAACCACATACCTTGGCTGGAATTAGGACCCCAGGAAAAAATATATATATATATATATATATATTTTCCTGGTTGGCGGAAAACAAAGGGAACCCCAAAAAAGCCAAAAAAATGAGAACTAATTGTGGGGAAGATACCAGCTGGTGCGAAACGGATTTCGCCACCGTCCGGTGACCCGTCCTGGGCCTCGTGTAGCAGGTGCAAAGCTCGGGCCCAGGCGCCTTTTCGCCGGCAGGCGCCGATCTGCGCCACGTAGAGCGCGGCAGACATGGGGCGAGGCCCCGGCCGCTCAGGGCATGGCAGGTGAGCGAGACGGTACCATCACCATGGAGGGTATGAGCAGACAACTTTGTTTCACAATGAACAAGACATTGATTTTGCCAATCCCAAAGAAACTATGTTGATATTCTAGTGCATCTCTACCCACAGCTCTTTGCCTCAATGCACAATGCAGCATTTCTACCCATTTTGATCGTCAAGCAGAAAGTGGTATGTCCATGATTTCCATGCATCTTCTTGCCGTGGAAAGACAACAAGTTCTTCTGAGGACATAACTGTAGGTCGAGTTGCAGTAGACGACACTGTTTGGATTAAAAGCGGGAGTCACTGGAAATCGACTCCAACATGTTTTGGGCAAGGGTTCGAAAACTAACATGCTTTACAAGGGTTTGGATTCTATCAGCTGGTAAACGTGCTGTGCCACGGGCATGGGCAACATCCTTTCGTTTAGCAACCCTATGCTAGGTCACAATCGTTTGTTCAGCTTGTGCAAAATGTTGTCTCTCCAGATCCAACAATTTTAACAATGAAGTCTATGAAACTGGTGATAGTGCAAATAAGATCAGGTGATATCCCCAACAGCATGCGGTGCTCTTCTGGGGAGGCTGGTTGTGGGTGGGGTGTTGGGAAGGATGTACTCTGAAAACCTCAAACACATCTCTGCTTTCGGCCATTTGTCCATGGCATCTGCTGGCATCCGATGGCTGCGAGATATGATCCACTTCGCAGTTAGGAAGCGATCCCAGCTTCCCTGCTCCCAACATCATCCCCCAAAGCTGCTTCCCGCGGCTGCCTATTTCCCAGAGGAGGCTCCAAGTACCTCATGAGGATGGCTTTTGGGGGGTGAAAAGGGGTCTAAGTACCTCCTTAGAAGGTACTTGGACCCTCGGGGTTTGGTTTCTCTCGTTGCCCACTTCAGTCCGCTTTGGCCGTCAGCCCGACGCCGCAAGCGACTGCGAGGAGAAGTCTGCCATGTCTGGGCGTTTTTGAGGGTACCCTTTCCTCAGGTTGGTTCAAAGGAAAGCCAAAACCCACTGTTTTGGAGGGCCCCCTCTTGTGACACATACTTATCCATCACATGGTCTCGACCCTGTCGGGTCCCCAACCTTCTTGACGCTGACACATGGGGTCAGCTGAGTCTGACAGGGTACCCTACTTTATTAGGAAAACAAACGGCAACTCACCCAATTCGATTGAGATTTCTGCATTGAGGCTCTCGGGCATCGCTTGGAGAGAGCGCAACGCGAGCTCTTGCAAAGCAGGCCAGGAAGACCCTCCCATGCGCAAGTTCACCATGTGCACCTTGCAACCAGCAACCCGTGAAGAGAAGGGAACTCTTTTTTTCCGGTTGGCACATTTTCGAGAGGACCCGCCAAGCATAGAAGCAACAACCGGTACCGAAGCACTGAGCAAGGAGCCATGGCTTTTGGGATTTTGTGAGCTCCCTCGAATGTCCGGAGCCTAACCCACCTAGTGGTGCATGATATTGGCAATTCCCAGACGTGCTACAGCCCCTCATTGCAAGGGCCATGGGTTTGGGCAACGGGAAGGCTCAGATGTCTTGTATATCCAAGGAGATCAGCCCAAGATACACTTCGTCATCGGGCTTGTACAAGTGATGTTTGAACCACTAAAAGGATACGTAAAGGATCCGTGTTAGACCTGATCTGTCCCTTCAACTATGGTGGGTGTGAGCTCAGAGCTGGGTTCCCCAACCGAACGGGCCCCTGTTTCAACCGCTTTGCTTTCCCTTTAGAGGGGGCCGGAGACTGGCTCTTAAAGCAACAGGTGCAGCCAAATTCCGGCCACAAACATGTCAGCTCAAAGGGGCTCGGGCATTTTGTACCCTGGGTAACATTGGGGCGATGCAAGCAACCCAAAGAGGCAAGCCCTTGTTTGAACATGTTTTAGCCACATTTGTTGAACAACCTCCTCTCGGATTTCAAAAAAAAAGCTAGGTTACGAAGGGTTGTTTTAACAACTGTTCTGGTCTACCTCACCTTCTGCCCCCAACCAAAAATGAACACGATTAGATTCTGACAGCCGTATCTAGTGAATTAACCTTAGAATGTGAGCAGGGCCTCTTATGTTACGAAAATAGATATTACCTACCCCCTCCCAAATAGTGGTTTCCTGGGGTCCAGCGGAAAAGGTCATGTTCAAATGGCCGAATTATGTACCCTTGAAGGAGACCTGGTGAAAATGACTGTGGGTCAAAAATAGGTACCCAAAATGGAACCCAGGTAAATGGAACCAAAGACTAAAACCCTGGTGGCGTAATTTTGACCCACACCCAAATGACGGTCATTCGTGAGGTAGCGACGCATCCCAAAGCCCGACACTTCACTCGAGCCGAGACGCCGAGATGGGCTCTTTGAAGACGACCTCCAACACGGCCTGGAGAATCCGATTTGGGCAAAGGGGCAGAGGGATCCGACGTGACAATGGGCCCAAAAGGCGGCACGCAACAGTTTGCGGAGAAACGGACAACAGGTGAAAAGTAAGAAGTGGTACCTTTAAGTTGGAATAACAAAAGGATTTCCCATGAAACCATGACCTACTTGAACTTGAACTCATTGCAAATGCGCACCTGCAACACTCCTTGTTCCGTCAGCTTCCGAGTTTTCTAGTGGGAGGGTGTGTGCTCGAACGAACTAATAACTAATAACTCCAATTATCTGAAACCATCCACCAATTGAACTTCGCAATGCAGAAATAATTGCTTCACTTGAGATGGCAGTTTTCCCTGCTTTCCTGCACCCTGGGACATGAGCCATCAAAATATGTGGTTCCCGTGTGGCAGATTTTGTGAGTCTACATCCTGCACGAGTTTTCACCATGTCGACCGGACCGCCAACGGGATGTCATGACGGATCCGGCCGTGGGCAGACTGAAATCCAGAATCCACCTGTGTTTTCCTAAAATTTCATGGGGGCAAACCCCCGACTTAGTGGTGTAGGTGTCCATAACACACATATGGAGAAAGCACGCCTCATCAGCGCCACGTATTTTCAAACCACCTCGAAATGGGAAGATCCCCTTTGAAAGCAAGGTTCCCCCCCCAAAAAAAGGCCACACCCATCTGCGTCTTCCCTTGGTTGCTCCCAAGACCCTGGCGCAAGGTACAACAATGCACCTGTAAACGAAAACCAAGCAAACCAGATCAGACGCAAAACCTTTCTATGGCTTTCCACACTATTGCAAGTGGGAAAGAAGGACACCTCTAATGCACCTTGCGGTTTTCGACTGGTTTACTTTACAAATTATCTATCTTTGTGTTCACTTTGTATCCTAGCCTTGTCTCCGTGCAGTTTTGCACAGGCGCTGCGTGAAGCAAACCTCTGCAGAGAGTGGCCCAGCACCCCCAGTGCCATGGAAGAATCTCGACCCATGTCTTTGGTGGTTTCTCTTAAAGGGCCCCACCCGTGCATTGGAGGTCCAGGTGGGGGAATCCCACCTTGACCCTCATGCCATGGCCCACCTTGGGCTTGTCCAAGCTGTGCGCCGCAATAGTCACAGCCTCGGCATGAAAAAAACATCGCCGATTCTCCGAGAGAGTACCCCGTTTTTTGTTTTCCTTTTTTTTCCGGGAACCCCTGAAGCAGGATTCTGCCAAAACTGATTCCTCTAGAGGAAGCCTCCCCATTCTTTCCAGGCACCCGAATCTTTGCAGGAAACCATCAACTACCCAGGAAAAACAGCTGTGTTTTTTGTGAAAAGAATGGACAAGGAATCAACCCCTAGAACTCCAGGATACATCTAAAACCAGCCTTGCAAGGGATTCTAGGGACCCCAAAAGCCTGCTTTCAAGGACTCTGTGAAATGGGCCAGTTGAATCAAAGGCATCAACCCCTACTGAAATTTGTCTCCAAATAGGGACCCTGGACATGGGCTTGGGATTCCCGTTTAGCTTCTCGTTGAACCAAGCCCATGGAGCCTCATGGATTCCGTGACAGGCTCATAGGACCCATTTTTCCACTTCGCCGGGGGACGAACAACGTGCCCCACAGAGCGTGGACTTGTCTTTTCACCAGCTTTGCCCTAAGCTGAGTTGATCAAATTCCGGGAAGGGAACAAGGAAACCTGCGAGTTGACCGCTATTTACAACGGTTCGGGGCTGGAGTTTGCTTGGTTTGCCTGCAACCTATGCGCTTTCACGGCGCTCTGAGACCCTCTGCCGGAGCACCGCCCAGGTTCGCGGAGTTCCCGTGGGCGCCGTACACGCTCTGCGCGCTGTGAGGAAGGGTTGACCTTGCCTAATTTCATGGGGATAGAAGTGAGTACACCATTTCCCCTTCAGGGTTTGGATGGCGCTGCTTCCCCGAAAGTTACCGGCATGAAACCTTCGGGTTTTTAACCTCCAGGCTTCTGGGAAAGCCTGTTTTGCGGCCATTTGCCAGGAAAGGGAGACCCAAGAAGCAGGCTGGGAGTTTCTTTCAAGGGTGGCAACCCAAATTAGAGGGCACAATGCCCTTTCGCTTTCCAAGTGCGCGTTGATTCTTGGCTTCGGCTCATCAAACGTCCCAAGCTCCCAGTCTGCCAAAGGAGGCTTCTTAGCGGCTTCGGGGAACTCGGTTAGTAACCCTGGGCAGGTACCCACGGAAAGGGAACTTGCAGGCAACTTACAGAGATAAATGGACTCTCGCTTCCGTTCAGTCGCAAATCGATCTCCTCCAGAAAACAACAACCACCTGGAACTAGGCCACCTCCTACACTCAAATAACCTTCGCAACTTAGGATGCCAACTTTCTCTCAGGTCCACATGTGGTCAAACTCCTTCGCCTCCTTGGGGCCATCGCAAGGGCTTGATGACCATCCCAACCCCACCCCGGTTTTGACCATGGCACACGTTTCGCCGCCGCTCGCTCCGAATGCTTCCCAAAAAAAACACATATGCGCGGCGTGTCGACCCACGGCCAAGGACCGCTTTCGCACATCGTTGCTCCACTTTAGACCCGATCGGCACGGAAACTCGGCCAGAACAAGCACAACTCCAAACCACACAACTCGTGTATCGGTATCTTAGGTCAAGAAAATTGAACAGCTTTGAATTTGGAGGAGTAAGACTGGGGATATTCATCGGACGTCGACACGGAGGTACCTGCAGCTGCGGGGTGGCCCCTCCGTCCAGGGCATAGACGTCCTGCGAAAGGTCCATCGAGAGCAGCAAAGATCTCTTGCTGCGTCTTCACTATGACTGGCTCACATTAATGTACCCAAATGGCTGTGGGACAAAAGCAATGGTACCATTTTCGGGTCGGTGCACCACCCATTTTATTCTATTTTAGTGGGGATTGGGATGTTCACTGGGGGTACGGGATTTTGACCCATGGCCAAATGGCACCTTGGCAAATGGAACCAAAGACAAACATCTGCGTAACCTGAGCTACGCCCACATCAGTCTACAAACTCATAAAGGCCACGCCAGCAGGCAGTCTGGCTTTAAACATGTGCACTGTCAACATAAGTCCGGAATTTGAGCCCCTGCAATACCTCACAGCTACTTGTGAGACATCCTCGTCACTCTCCCCAGGGGTGGCTTCACATTTGCCCTCAACAAGATCCATGGGTTCAAACCCACTCACCACAAATCCAAACCATCAAATGTACCCTGATTTTGGGGAGACCCAGCAAAAACAGATGGTTCAACCGTGGCGCTCTGGTCGCTTAGGAATTAAAATTCTACACTTGTTGACTGGCCCAATCAACCCCTAGAGCAATGAGTCCGCGGTGAAGTCCGGGGCTCCAAAAGATCTGGAGCCCAGCAAACGGAGTCCATGCCGCGTCCAGGTTTGGTTCAATGTCGGCCTTAAGTGAAGCTGGTGGATTCACGGGGGGGGAAAGCCCTAAAGGATGCCCTCCAGAATGGTTTGATGACTCATAGGTTATCATCTGTATAGCATGGCCAATCATGGCTATCTTCATTCTTATGCTCATTTCGTAAAATCTGAATCTCTTCATTTACTGCTTCAACATCTCTCTTTCTTAAAAGCCGGGGTCAATCTCCGACTCACCCGGTCCGCTGCTGGATTGTCGAACAAGGTCGACAGCAAGTTGTGCTTCTTGAAGTAGTCCTCAGCGAAGCCAAAGAATGGCGGCTTCCCCATTTGGTGGAATCAAAACCGAAGGAAGCGCCGCATTTGGGTGTCTTTTTTCAGGTTTTCAGGGTGCATTTGGGTGTGTCTTTTTGGGTGTGTCTTTTTGGGTGTGTCTTTTTTCCTTTCTCAGGGTGCCCTCTCGTTTGTGGCTTGTTTGTGGAGTTTAAAAGGCAACCAAAAGGACAACTCTCCTTTTTGTGGGTCCCTAAAATTACACACCCATTTCTAGAGGGCCGATTCCTATTCTGAGTAAGCCTCCATCCATTAGGTTGGTTTTGGTACGTGTCAAAATCGGGGACCCCCCCAAAAACAAGAGGTTTGGGCTAGGTGTTCCTCTAAACCAACCCAGCGGGGCTTAAGCCGCAAAAGGAGAGCCACGCCCCGCTTCGACCGAAAAAGGCGGGATCCGCGTTTTGGCTCCGCGGGATCCGCCTCGTGGATCCTCTGCACCTTGCCCTCCAGGGAGGACACGTCGCCCATGTGCTCGATGATTGCCTCGTGGCGCTCGCGACTTGGGCTCGCGAAAGAGGATCCTCGAAAAATGGTGGGGCATTGCAAAAAAAAATCAGGGGTTCTGACCCCTTTTTCTAGAGCTCATGGAGACTCTAGGTATGCGAAATACGGTGGTGGCGAAATCCGAGACCGCACCACGAAATGAAACCATGGTTGGAACCATAAGGTGTGTTGGTATTTGCAGGGAAGCATCATTCCGGGGTTTCTTAGGTGGTGCAGGATTTCGTCTATCCACAGTGGGAAACCCCGAAATGCGTTGTTTCAAGGGGACCCACCAACCTTAAATGGGACACGCCCCCATCAGAATCTAAAATCCACCAGGTCAACATTGCGCTACAAATCACGTCATCCGGGTTCCTCAGTCTTTTGGTCTTTGGAATGGACTTTTTGCTTCATCCCCACCGACCCATACCGAACATCGAACATCGACACGCGAGCTTCTGGCAGCCTTGGGGCAGCGCCCGTAAAGTCAACCGGCCTGGATGGATTTCCTAAAAGGAATCCAACCAAAAAAATCAGAAGCTCGGTCCTCCAGTAGAGAGGTTAGAATAAGGGTACCAACTTTCTTTCGGTTTGTCTATTTTAGTAGGGGAACCCTCCCCCAAAAAAGAAACGGTAGAAGGGCACTACTGGGGGACCTAGGAAAAGAAAGAAGCCCCCCGCTGAAGGTCTGGCAAAAATCCCACCGGGATTGGAACTAGTGTCATGTTCCTGTTTTGGCACCAAAACATAACATGTTTGGTGAGTTGGGACACTTCCACCGGTTTGCTTGCTGGTGCTCAGTAGGGAATGGTCGCATGAACCCAGGCTTTGGTGCCCTTAAAGGTTTTTTTTCCACAAGGGATTGTTTTTTGTTTTTGTTTTTGTTTTGCTTGTTTTCTCTGGGTCATTGCAAATCCTTTCCCGCCTATCGCACCAGCAAGCTTGGAAACAGCAAGAAAAACCTTGGTTGACGTTGGCAGGGGAGCAAAAACTGTTTTTTTAGCAGCTAAGTGGGGATTTCCACCACTAAACCACCATAAGCAAACATGTAAAACATGTAAAATGTTTCCCGACAACAACCATGAAACCGCCTCCGCCGTCTCCAAAGCTCCGGCCTCCGCCTTGTGATATTGCAGCATCACGTCGCTGCGCCGACTCTTCGTGGCGGAGAAGGAGATGTAGCACGACTGGATGGCTAGGACTTGGAGGGTTGGTTTAGAATTGATTTGATGTCTAGGTCCTCCAGTAGAGAGGATAGAATAAGGGTGCCAGTTTTTTTTCTTCTTTCTGTAGTCGATTTTAGTAGGGGAGCCCTCCCCAAAAAAGAAGCGGTAAAAGGGCACCACTGGGGGACCTAGGTTTGGTTTGGTTTAGGTTCGGGTTTTGGTTCAGGAGTAGGTTGCCCAACCTCGAAGAGGGTGACTGGTGCAGGTGTGTCATCACCAAGGATCAAATGCACTTGCGGCCAGGCCGCGTCATGGTTTAGGTTTCAGTTGGGCCCCAAACAGAATCAAAGGGCCAATCACTGTACAAGATCATTGTCCAACTGGAAATGAATATTCCGAAGGGGCTGCATAGAAAAGCGTGTTTTACCAACCCTCGGATCGGGCTTCGCTCGTTTTTTCTTGCGAAGCATGAAAGGGCACGTCACAAGGGCCCTCACAAAATTGTGATTCTCCTTTTGGCTTCCCTTGAACCACCAAAAACAGGGAATTGTGCAGGGTACCCTCAAAAAAGACACACCCATATGGTTTCTTTTTGGACCCCTGTGCCACCTTCCACCTGTTTAGCTGGAGCCTGGCGAACAATCTGTCTCTGTCAAGCTGACTATCTGTTGAGCTATCTATCTGTCAAGCTGTCTGCCTGAAGCTACCTGTCTGTCCAGCCATCTATCTGCAAGGCCAAGCTCTCTGTCCAGCTACCTGTCGAGCCATCAATCTTTAAAGTGATCCAGCTGTGAAGCAATGATCCAAATGGACGTGACCCCTTAGATCAAGCAACTGTCAATCTGATGGGTCAGTAAGTCTGATGTCTGCCCAGGAATCTATGTGTGACGCTTCGACCGTGTCTGATCCTTTCCGCCCGTGCCCTCCGCCACTCCGCCTTTGGGGCTGACTGGTTGTTGATGATGTCGATGAAGTCCTCAAGCGGAGTGCCCAGGTGCGGGGCCCTGTTTGAGGGCTCAAGACGAAATACAAAGGCTGAGTCGCTGACAACACTTGGCATACACTAACAATATCAAGAACATAAAAGGGCAACCCTTCCAAACACGGCTTGGTGCAAACACCCCGTTTGAACATATTATTGTCATCTAAAAGTGTGCTTATTTCTTATGTTTGTTGGTGGGGTGCAGACGGGGAACTGGGTTGCTTTCCTCTGATTTCCCTTTACAGCCCCGACGGGAATAAGCTTCCAAAACACACACACACACACACACATATATGGGTGTGTCTTTTTTCTAGGGACCCCCCCCAATATAAAAAAGAAGAAGTGTTTTTCTTTAGGTTTCCCTTTAAACCAACCCTAAGAAGAGTATCCAACATAGACGAGCCACCCATATCTCCATGAGCGGACGCACTCGATTTGTGCTACAGGGTTGCTCCAAAGGCTGATCGGCACAGTGGACATTTGGCATCGGCGTCCAGCGTCCGGCCCGCGGATTGATCTTTGCAGAGCTCTGCGCTTGGAGCAACCCAGACTTCGGAGCCTGTACTGCCCGTGCGAAATGCTTCTAGGTCCTCCAGTAGAGAGGTTAGAAGAAGGGCACCAACTTTTCTCTCTGTAGTCTATCTTAGTAGGGGAACCATGCAAAACCCTCGCAACCAAAAAAGGGGTGAGAAAGAGCACTACTGGGGGACCTGGTGGAGCAACCCTGACGTTGTGGCCTGTACTGCTGCGAGATGAGCTTGACTTGCTGGTTAGTGGGCAACACACACACACACACACACAGTATCGCACATGAAAGGCCAAAGATCCAACCAAATAGCAGCCGAGGGGGCAAGTAACACCCAAAGATGTCATGGCACAGCACCACAGATCCATCTCAGCTGAAATAAATGGTTGCTGGGTTCAAAACTGGTTGACATCATGGGATCCCTTTGAATAAAATCCCTTGAGGCCAACGAGCGAACCGAAGAGGCAAGAACGCGCCTTCTCCAACTGGCCTATGACCAAACAACAGGGTTTCAAACATGCTTCCACAAACATCACCCCTTCAAAAGGACATTCCACCTAACATTGGCCCCAAAAGTGAGATCTTATTCAGGACAAGAGGGGGAAATGTAGGAGCCTCCTTTGGTATTGTCCAAAGCAGTATTTGCAGAGAACCTTCTTTTCGTTGGATTTCATGGGAAACCAGAAGGAACCCCAGCAAGACTGGGGGTTGGAAGAGCCATCCGACGTCAAGGCTCCGACCCATAGCAAGGAATCCGGCGGCACCTCTGCAGTGTTGGGGTCCCTTGAAGGTAGCTGAAGGGTCCCTTGAAACCTCCAATTTCAGGCTGGATTGTTTTTCCTTCGCGGAATCACAATGTCCTTTACTCACCGGAACTCCTTGCAGCATCCCCAAAGCAGCCAGTTAAGGTGATTCTTTCACTGGTGGCCGTTGTCAAAAAAAACGTCATCATGTGATGGGGAAATCGCACACTTAGATCCAACCTGGCTGGAAAAATTAGACAAAAGCCTGCAGGCCCCTGGTTCGTAAATGTTGCGCCACTATATAAGAAAAATGGGTGAGGAATACGTAGGTTTCCCTTAGAGGACGTGGTGCCTCAAACCGGTTTCTGGATCTCCCCCAATATCCCCCCCATATCCCGAACCCAATATGAGCGGTTCCGAAAACCGGGTACATGAAACCCCTCTACTAACAAACTGCATTCGCGAAACCTTTCGCGATGCCTTCGCGTCCACACGTTTCCTTCGCGGGCATGCGGGCATGGGCTGTTTATAGGATCGCTTTCGCAGAGCTTTCGAGGCGAGTTCGCTTAACCGAGACATCCACTTGCCAAGCTCTTTCCTTCTTCCTTAGGTGGTTGGACTTACAAAGGAGTGAAGCAAAAGGATGTGGGAGTCCTTTCCGGGGGCAATTGGAGCTTTCGCAAAGCTTTCCCGGAGCTTTGGGGAAACTCGCCTCAAATGGGACTTGCTGTCCGTGATCAGTTCGCCCTTGCGAGCCCGAAATGAGACTCAAAACCTTACACAGAAATTGCAAACACACACTTTCGCAACGCTTTCGCGGCGGGCTTTTCTTCAACCACTTTCGCCGCACTCTTTCGCGGGCTTTCGCGCCCCGTGTTTTTAAAGCTCTCGCGAGGCCTTGTGGCCCCTCAATTAACCCTTTCACGAGGGTTTTTGAGCTGCTATAGCTGCTCAAAATGATCGAGAAATCAGGGAGCTTTCAGAAGCCTCATATGATCTCATATGTGCCATGGTGGTTCAGCTAGGAACACTCCAAAATGACTTGGGATCCGTGACCATCCCTGGTACCTAGGGTCTTTTGACCATAGCCGAGACATGCCCCATTGTCCAAGTCGGCTGGATCGAATTGTGGCTGAGTGATTCGGGGGTTGATTCCGTCGTTCAACCATGACCCGCCGTTCAATGTTAGCTTCAAGGGAAACAACCATTTTCGGACATTGATAGCCGGACGCGTTGTGGTCTCCACGGCACGGCGTGAGCAGTACCGGTGTAACCTGAGGGGATCTGAACCGCCCCGACTTTATTGATAACCCACAGAAACAGAGAAAAACAATGCAACCATCGCTTACATACAAAACAATGACTTCGAATAAACATGCTTTTGCAAAGAGATCCCGGGACACAGTCGATTGGGCAAAAAACTAAATTTTAATATGGTAACATGGCCTTTCCACATTTTTCCAAGCAAGGCGCGGACCAAACCACCGTTTTGCATGCTGATTCAGAGCCGACTCAATGGTCCTTGGCTCTCGAATACTTATGACGTTTTAGGGTGCCTGAACTGTTGGAGCAAATGGCCGCAAATCAGATACTTTGTCAAAAGATTATGGCGTCTGGTGCTACAACAGCTTCTGCCCTTAACAATGATGCTTGTGTCTTTTGCTCGGTCGATATTTAGTAAAACTCAAACTGCAATGATGTCAAACGTCCAAGGTTTGGTGTCATTGTCTGCGGGCTAGGGAAACTCCAACTCCAGGAATTTCATATATAGCATTCTCAATAAAACGAGTCAGTTTCCCCTTGTTCGCCTTAAACCCAAGCCCCTGAAAAAGCAACACACCCAGAGGGACATACCTTCACAAGGGGCCCCAGTGGCCGGCAGCGTTGGCGGTAACCAATGGACACTGGTTACTCACCGGAGACTGAGATCCACTGTACGTGGATTCCCTTGGCAGCCACAAAGAAGACATGACATGAAAGGTTGGTCGGTATTTAAGTCGAAACGTGGAGTATGGCAAAGGGTACAAGGGTACCTGTCCAAAAACGGCGAGATGCCTATCGGATCGAAGAGGATCGGAAAGGGAATCAAGGGTTCGACGAAGCAAGTTTTGCATCAGTGTGCTGGACAGCTTCACTCTACAGTATTACGATCTTCCTTCTTCCTGGACGTGTCACTTATTGTACTTCATGACTTTCAGGTTCGGCTTGGGCAAGTCTTGCGGCCATGAACGTGTCTGAGGTGGGTCTTGACGACCCTGACATTGCTCAACATTCATTGTCCGACCATCAACGCGGGAGTGTAGCGAGTACACCCTTGGTCGCTAGGCTTGGTGAATGTACCCAATGCCATCCGCATTGAAGTAGATGACAGTGACCGCTCACGAGACATTGATGTTTCACCATTAAATCTAGAGACTCCAAACTGGCAAGAAGTTTCCTCCAAGAACCCTCTATACCTTTTTGAGCATCCAAGCCTGGCAAAGTCTCTTAAACGGCATGAAGGAAGCCATTGGTGATCGTGCGCGTGGCACCCGGGCCTCCGGAAACATTGGCAATAATTCAGCCTCGGGACCGAGACACCATCCGGAATCCGCCCGGCTCAGTTTTGTTCGAACCGAAGGGAAAGGGTGGGTTGACTTGTTGATTCCTCCCATGAACTATGCAAAAGGGAATTTCCTTCCCCGTTCCATTTGCCGAAGCCGACTGAAAAACATGAACATAGTTCCAGTAGTGATAGATTCCCTTTAAGACCAACCGGTTGGTGAAAACAAAGCATATATTCTGAACTCAGTTGTTCAGTGACCCTGGAAAAAGGAACCCTTTTTGGGGAAGACCATTTTTAGTGGGGCGGCCATCAAAAAAAAAGGGAAAATGAATTGGTGCCACTGAACAACTGAGTTAAGCCACTGGAAGGGGAATCTTGGGAGCCTGCTGACCTTTGATTCGTGTGACGCCTGCCCGTCGCCCGTCACTGAAGTCTAATCCGTGCGTCCAGTTGCCACGTGCACTCGTGACCCAGACCATATGGAGAACCCTGACCCCACTTAAAGCAACTCTTAAACATGTAAAGAATCAAAAGGTCAGCATTGCCCATTTGGGGGTGTCTTTTTGTATGTGGTTTTAAAGGAAAACCACAAGGAAAAGGTTTCGATTGTTACAACGCCAGCTGGGCATGCATCAAAATAGTGAGACCCCAAAAAGAGACCAACCGGAATCCACCGCAGAAGGGTCTCAAACAAGAAAAAACAACATTTCGGCTCCACAGCTACTTGCCTCAGGGCGCTACAGCTTGCCATAGCTGCCCTACTCGGATTGGTTGGCAACTGCCAGGGTGGTGTGTGCAGCTGTCAATGGTGTGACTACATTGTGCACCATGGCTACCTTCCTCCCTTCTGCATGGCTTCTTTCTGCTCAGGAGTTTTCCACTCGCCCCAGTGCTGGGGACGCTGCTGTGCTCCCCTCCTTTAAACTTTAAAGGGCCTTCTTTGTCCGCCTTCGGGCGCCCCTGCCACCCACGCTTTCGATTGTGACTGCGCCTCGTGCCAAAAGGGTCTCAAAAAAAGGGCGGGGGATCAGTTGCGCACACAAATTTGGATCAGTTGCGCACACAAAACCCCCCTGAGTTCTGGCTCAGTTACGCACACATATTTGGATCAGTTGCGCACACAGAGCTCTAGATGCATGGAATTGGGTGGGTGGGTGGGTGGGGTGGCTTGGTGGGTGGGTGGGGGCGGTGGGTGGTTGGTTGGGGTTGGGTGGGTGGGTGGGTGGGTGGGTGGGGTGGCTTGGTGGGTGGGTGGGGTGGGTGGGGTGGGCGGTTCCAGAAAGGAGCGCACACAAGTAGGTGGATGGAAGTGGTGGGTAGGTGGATGGAAGTGGTGGCATCAGAAGGGGTGGGTGGTGTGGGTGGGTGGGGGTGGGTGGGTGGGTGGGTGGGTGGGTGGGTGGGTGGGTGGGTGGGTGGGTGGGTGGGTGGGTGGGTGGGTGGGGTGGCTTGGTGGGTGGGTGGGGTGGGTGGGGTGGGCGGTTCCAGAAAGGAACGCACACAAGTAGGTGGATGGAAGTGGTGGCATCACAAGAGATGGGGTAGGTGGATGGAAGTGGCGGCATCAGAAGGGGTGGGTGGGGTGGGTGGGTGGGTGGGTGGGTGGGTGTGGGGTCCAGAAAGGAACGCACACAAGAGATGGGGTAGGTGGATGGAAGTGGCGGCATCAGAAGGGGTGGGTGGGGTGGGTGGGGGGGGTGGGGTCCAGAAAGGAACGCACACAAGAGATGGGGTAGGTGGATGGAAGTGGCGGCATCAGAAGGGCAAGAATGGGCGTGTGGCAATGGCTTACATGAGGATCATACACACAAAACACTGCGTGAAATAGTGTTATACCATCCTATCTTGCGGAGAAAAAAAAGATCAGCGTGTATCAGCCGGACACTTTCCAGGGGCGCCGAATTTCCCAGCCTTGGTTTTGGGCATGGCTGATCTGAAAGAAACCCAAAACAAAGGGGCCGCAAGCTACACTTTGATCCTTTCCTCCTGTTGCCACAACGTCGCCCCATCCCCCGCCATCGCAGCCTTGAACTGCGCTCTGCTGGGGGATGGGGCGCGCTCTGAAAGAAACCCAAAACGAAGGGGGCGCAAGCTACACTTTGTCCGAGACTCCATGACGTCAGTCTAAATAGCTGATTCCAAGGTAAGCCAGTCTGCGTGCACAACTGAGCCGGGCCTCGCGTGCACAACCGAGCCAGATTCTCGCGTGCACAACCGAGGCACCACCCCAAAAAAAAGCACACAGCCAGTTGTTCACCCCAGTTTGTTGGGTTGGGGGAAAAACAAATGGTTCTGTGGTTCCCTTGGCGACACCTGGGTGAACGTAGATGGCACAAATTCTTCTTTTATGGGCAAGTTCACGGGACGACTAAAACCAAAGTGGGGGAATCCTCCACTGTGACTAACAACCCAGTGGTCGAGTGCTGTCGACCATGTGTGGGAAAGTCGACCCAAACACGCAAAACACACGGGTGATGAAGAAACTGGATAGCCCTTTCTGATTCGATTCCACGGCGGCTTCCCACTACTTGGACAGACCATGGCTGATTCCCATCTAGGTCCTCCAGTAGAGAGGTTAGAATAAGGGCACCCTATTTTCTGTAGTCTGCTTAAGTAGGGGAACCCTCCCCCAAAAAAGTTGGGTGACAGGTCGGGCACTGGACGACCTAGCCATGGCTGACTCCCCCACGGGTTTCAACGGATTGGCCCCTTGCGCCCCTTGGACACCTCACCGAAAAACCTCTGCTAAGATCTCCGCGAAACGGAGCAGGTGCTGCGTTCTCACCAGCTTCCGGTAGATCCTCGGTGCGCTGCTTAAGCCAAAATCGCGCGGTGGGGTCGATTGGATGAAACCCACTCAGCGGAGTGGCGGAAAACGGCAAGCCGCCTATTGGTTTGCCCCTGAAATGGGCTTCCTCAAAAGGGAGACGCGAGACCTCAGTTCTTGGTTGACGTTGGAAGGGGAATAATTTGAATTTTAGCAGTCAAGTGGGGATTTCCCACGAAACCACAATCAACATGTAAAATGCTTCCCAACAACAACCATGAGTTGTTGACCCCAGTGACTCGGCGGAGAAACCATAGGAACCAGTTCGGCCGAAGTCTGAGGGTCCGGCCCATCGCGATGGAAGGAGATCACGTTCCAGGCGCTGTGGTTATTCTTGGCCATGTACCCTGCGCTGCTCCCCAAAACAGCCATGAGACTCCGCATCAGGAAATCCACAACGCCATTTCACCCAGCCCAAAAAGGAAAATTCCCACCAATTCACTCACACACCACCCAGACAGCTCGAACAACCACCTGACCTCTTCACAAACCCTTAGCATCGAAGGCGGAGAAGAAACTGGATCCCCCCTAGCGCCTCAGAGGCTCCAAGCCTTCATGATTCAGAGCACGGGATTCCATTGCTAGCGGAGACCATTCGTGACGATTAGGGGCCAGTAAGGCTTAAGCACCATGACTTTCGTCTGGCTCCCGTTGCTGCTTTGGCTTTGAATCAATATTGCTGAACACTATCCATTTGATCGTATCTTGAAGAGGAACCAACTTTTTTGGGTGGGACTCCGCCCTTTGGTTCTTGACAGCATGACATAGGATTGTGCGGTCAAATACGGGAGTTTTCTACAGGTGAACTTGTGGGCACGATCTGTGGCAATATGGGCCTGTATTTCTTCTAGGAATCGGACCCCCAAAATGGGCGGGTGATCCTTTGGTATCCCTTTAGAACCACCAAACATGGGGGGTACCCACAAAACAAATACAAAAGACACACATGAACAATACACATCAAGTTGGAAGCCACGAGGGACCCACTTGTGGGTGCAAGGCGCTTGACACGTATTTGCCAAAATCATAGCTTCAAAGTGGAGGTATCATGATGGTTCCCTTGAAATAATCTGTTCACAAAGGGGTCCAAGTCATGCCCACTCACAGCACATTTGTGTGAGGGCAATCAAACGGACACCCATGTTTTGGGGCTCGCCAGTTGTCCATTGACCCGGGTGGAAGATGGGCCCTTTTGTTGGGGTGGACCATTTGTGCCCAAGAGTTCTAAACACCAAAAGATCCAGAGTGCTCAACAACCGGGGCTCCTCTACTCTTTGAAGACCCCCCGATTCGCTCTACCCCTACGTGCTCTACCCCACTATTGGTTCAGAGCCTGTGCAAAGGAAGCCATGGGACTGTGCCCGTCAATGGTCCTGAATGTGGCCATTGCTCCTTAATGGCCCCTAGTGCCAACTACCATGCTTTGGCCCTGCATCAGTGTATATGACTCAACATAGCATGAGTGGCTTTCGCCTAGGGTTCAACCCCCATTAAACATAAGCTCAGGTGATATCCGGAAAACAGCATGCGGCGCTCTGGTTAGTGCTCGCACCACCCCGCAGCCCTCGCAGAACCGGAACCCTGGTGGAACCATCGTGGAACCTTACCTCAGGGCCGCCCCGGACCACTCCGGAGCCTATCTGGGCTGAGACCCCAAAGCTTTCAGCTGTTGGGGAAAAAAGGTTGACCCAATTTGGATGATGACAATCCTTAGGTAAACAATGGTGTTTATATGATCCCGCATTGTTTTAATGGTGGTTTGAAACCTAGGCTTTCTTTTGGCGTCCTCTAAGTCAACCCCAAAGAGGGGCACCGGGTACCGATTCGGAAGAACGGATGATCGCGCGAGTGTTTCTCTCGCCTTGGATGGGCCTGAGAAAGCCCTTCTGCATCTCGATGTTATCCTCCACCTGACCCAAACCCCACTGGCCAGGGGAGTCAAAATCAAAACCCGGTATTAAAATGGTCTACCCAGAATAATGCAAAGAATTTAGAAGGCGGCCGCAGCTATTTCTGGTTGGGATCGTCCCTTGCTAGCCTTCATCTACCAGGAACCTTTCTTGCTATGACTTGGGGAAGCCCCCTCCAGAAAAACCAAGTGGCCAAAAAAAGAGACGACCCTTTTGGGCTTGCCTCAAACAATGAGGAACCCCCTCAAAGTGTTTCTTTGTTGGGTGTTCTTCGAAAACCATCCAGAAAAATACGGCATATTTGGAGTCTCCATGACTCTTAAATTGGGGGCATTACCCTAAATAATGGGGTCATGGATCTATCTTTAAAGGGTCATGGAGACTCCATGTACCCCTTTTTAGCGGGTCCCACCCATTTCAAGGCTCGGAGCAGCCGCCTTTTCCACCTTTTGGACCGGCCCGTCGAGCGCCTTTGAGCCGACGGCCAACGACGGTAACTAGAGCTATCGCCTTAAAGGGGGCCCTGGCAAAATGAGTTTCCTTTGGGTGAAAATACTGTGGATGCGACCTCCGAGACCGCACCACAAACTGAGACCATGGAAACCATAACGTTTGTTGGTACTTGCAGGGGAATCATCAGTAACCAGGGGTTCTTAGGTGCGGGATTTGGTCCATCCACAGTATCAGGAGGAACAAGTACCTGGAGTCTCCACGCCCCCTTAACAGATGGTTGGTCATTACCTAAAATAATGGGGTCATGCATGGAGACTCCAGGCGCCAAGGGATATGATGCGAAAAATGTTGACCCCGGAGAAACTAGAGGACGATTGGCCCGAAAGCATTTTTCCACAGGTGCTCATCCAGCCGCGGAGACACCTTTTTACATCGCTGCGGCGAGCGTGTCTGCGCGCGGCGATGCTCATGTGTATGGTCACATGAGAGCTCCATCTCATCATCCTACTTTCCGCTCAAACTGCGCCGCGCGATTTCTCACGAACGTGGTCTGCGCAAGCTGCATTGTTCCAGGCTGCTGCGCGCAAGTTGCTCTCTGCAAGCTGCTGCGCGCAAGTGCTCTGTGCAAGTTGCTCTGCGCAAGTGCTCTGAGCAAGTTGCTCTGCGCAAGTGCTCTGCGCCAGTTGCTCCGCGCAAGCGCTTTGCGCATGTGCTCTGCGCAAGTTGGTCTGTGCAAGTTGCTCTGCGCCTGCTCTGTGCAAGTTGCTCTGCGCAAGTGCTCTGAGCAAGTTGCTCTGCGCAAGGGCTCTGCGCCAGTTGCTCCGTGCAAGCGCTTTGCGCATGTGCTCTGTGCAAGTTGGTCTGTGCAAGTTGCTCTGCGCAAGTGCTTTGTACAATTGCTCTGTGCAAGTTGCTCTGCGCAAGTTGCTCTGCGCAAGTGACTCTGCGCAAGTTGCTCTGCGCAAGTGCTGCCGGAGCTGCGGGGGTGTGCTCCGCGTACTACGTTTGTACTTAAAAGTTGCGATTCTCCAGCCGGAGCTGCGGGGGTGTGCTCCGCGTACTACGTTTGTACTTAAAAGTTGCGATTTTCCAGCCTGAGCTGCGGGAGCACGCTCCGCATACTACGTCTGTACTTAAAATTGCGATTTTCCACCCGGAGCTCTGCGAGCACACTCCGCGTACTACGTTTGTACTTAAAAGTTGCGATTTTCAAGCCGGAGCTGCGGGGGTGTGCTCCGCGTACTACGTTTGTACTTAAAAGTTGCGATTTTCCAGCCTGAGCTGCGGGAGCACGCTCTGCGCACTACGTCTGTACTTAAAAGTTACGATTTTCACCCGGAGCTGCAGGAGCACGCTCCGCGTACTACGTTTGTACTTAAAAGCTGCGATTTGCAAGCCGGAGCTGCCGCGGACCCGGGGGGAATCGAACCCGCGACCGCGGGATTGCGAAAGCAGGCGCGGAAACCACGAGACAACTTCCAAAGGCCGTTTCGCGAGCAAGAATATTGCACGGCGCCACAGCGAGAGCGCTTCGACACGCACAATCTCCGCAGAGGGTTCGCCGAGACTAAGACAAATTCGCACGGCGCCACAGCGAGAGCGCTTCGACGCGCACGATCTCCGCAGAGGGTCGCGCGCACCGCAGAAATCGTAAAAAGTCCTCAGTTTTTGAACCTCGACCACGCGAATCTCCGCAGAGGGTCGTGCGCGCACCGCAGAAATCGTAAAAAGTCCTCAGTTTTTGAACCTCGACCACGCGAATCTCCGCAGAGGGTCGTGCGCGCACCGCAGAAATCGTAAAAAGTCCGCAGTTTTTGAACCTCGACCACGCGAATCTCCGCAGAAGGCCGCGCGCGCATGCTAAAAATCGTAAAAAGTCCTCAGTTTTTGAACCTCGACCACGCGAATCCCCGCAGAATGCTAAAAATCGTAAAAAGTCCTCAGTTTTTGAACCTCGACCACGCGAATCTCCGCAGAGGGTCGCGCGCGCATGCTAAAAATCGTAAAAAGTCCTCAGTTTTTGAACCTCGACCACGCGAATCTCCGCAGAGGGTCGCGCGCGCATGCTAAAAATCGTAAAAAGTCCTCAGTTTTTTGAACCTCGACCGCGCGAATCTCCGCAGAGGGTCGCGCGCGCATGCTAAAAATCGTAAAAAGTCCTCAGTTTTTGAACCTCGACCACGCGAATCTCCGCAGAGGGTCGCGCGCGGCCAGCAGAAATCGTAAAAAGTCCTCAGTTTTTGAACCTCGACCACGCGAATCTCCGCAGAGGGTCGCAATCCCGAGCGACGATCAAACTCCCGCCCCGGCGCCTTAGAAACCTAAACTAACTTACATAGCTGCTAACGCCGAAGCTCTAAGCTCTACCTAACTTGGCTCTATGTAACTTGGCTCTATGTAACTTGGCTCTATGTAACTTGGCTCTATGTAACTTGGCTCTATGTAACTTGGCTCTATGTAACTTGGCTCTATGTAACTTGGCTCTATGTAACTTGGCTCTATGTAACTTGGCTCTATGTAACTTGGCTCTATGTAACTTGGCTCTATGTAACTTGGCTCTATGTAACTTGGCTCTGTAACTTGGCTCTATGTAACTTGGCTCTATGTAACTTGGCTCTATGTAACTTGGCTCTATGTAACTTGGCTCTATGTAACTTGGCTCTATGTAACTTGGCTCTATGTAACTTGGCTCTATGTAACTTGGCTCTATGTAACTTGGCTCTATGTAACTTGGCTCTATGTAACTTGTCCAAGGGCTCCGCACGGAAGAACCCTTCGCGATGCTTTCGGGAAAAACAAAAAAACAAGCCCAGTTGGTGAATAGGGAGAGTGGGCACCATCACTGTTGGAGGGGAATTGCTTGCTGGCGCGATAATTAAGTATAGGGAATGAAGGAATGACCCCGAGAAAAAACATTTCTTGTGGTTTCCGTTTTTCGGGGACCAAAGCCTCGGCTCAGTTCATTTCTTGTTCCCTACTTCTCGCACCGATCGCAAGATTACGAGGGCCTCAAGAGGGCTGCCCTCAGATCCCCGCCAAAAGTCTAACTTTTAGTGGGTTAAATGGAAACTACCACTAGACACTAAAAGGATCTGAAAAGCTAAGGAACCGGATGGCTGGGAGCCACCAAGTTAAGAGGGACTCGGTCGCCTGCAGGAAGAAGTCCCCGAGATGTCGTGCGACGGTGTACAGCACCGCGAGCTCGTAGTTGAGCCTGGCGCCGCGCCGTTGTCACCCCGTTGGGGGCTGTGGCATTGGTCCTTTGTTTTCCTTGTGAAAAACAAAAAGCAACATACAAAACCAAAACAACCACAAAAAACAATCGGGGGGAGAGTTGTGTTTGTTTTGAAGCGGAAGGGAGACCGGCTCCAGGATTGTGGGAGACCAGCTCCCTGATTTTGGCTTCGGCAACCCAGTGGCCTCCCGCGGAAGAGGATGGACGACTGTTTTGTAAGCTGGGCGTCTCGCGGGGGGGGGGGGCGGGTGTTGGGGTATAACTCCCAGAGCGCCCCTTGGTACCTACTGATTGCGAAAGTTTCGCTTGGGGTTCCCAGTCTTAGAGAACCCGGCTTGCGACATGATGTTAGTCCAGATCCGCTCAACACCCAGGGCTATACGCTTGGCGGCTGAGACAGCTTGCGACCCGGGATGAGCCTTTGCCTCTGCCGTCTGGTTGGGAACCCAACACATAGGGGAATACAGTGCCACGGAACAGGAGTGGCGGAAGAAGACTCCCTTGGTTGGTTGGTGCGGTCGAATCCACCCCGCTTTCCTCTCCCCCATGTTCCCCAAAAGACCAACTTGGCTGCATCCCCCGTGGAAGAAGCCAGGAGTTGGCGGAGTTAGGGGCGGGGGGTTGGATCCTACTCCATGTTTGAGCAACCACCCCCCTGCTCCAGCGGATTTGCAAGCCATTTTGAGAGCGAAGCTGCCAACCACAGGGAACAAAAACCATCTAAACCAGAGAACCCCGCATCTATTTCTAAGCAAACTACCCCATCAGCATGACACCTATGGAAAAAGCCGCCCTCGCCCTGGCCTGGTGGGGCCTGGGTAGTATGCCTCCGGGGCACGCACTGCGTGCAGGCGACCTGCCTGCAGAAGCCGCTCCGCTGAAGGCTCACTCTCGCTCGCCTCTCTCGAGTGGATCGGCCCAAAGTGTCAAGATGTACATTTTTTGCCACTGAAAGGGATGTCTCGCCAAAGCGCAAAGTCCAAAAAAAAACGGTTTTTGTTCACAGCTGTGGAACATTGCCTTTCTGTGATTCCACAACCGCGGTTTTGTGTTGCTGGTCTTGTTGATTTGGTCCATTGGTCGGCTTTCTTATCCAGGCGGTTGTCAATTGTTCAACCTGAGACCTCCAGTGGGTGTCCATGGGCAGAAGGCCACCTCTTTGTTTGGTTGATCTTAAAGAGGACACCCCCCCCTCCACTACCACTGTAATTTGTTGGTCATACCCAATGTAGCTCACAAACGGGGTGCTGGTTTGGAGAACCTTCCTTCAAATCACGAGCAGAACTGGTAGGTG